AACTTGTCGCAGTTCTTAAGTCAGAGGGAGGATCGCCCACCTCTATTTATGTGAGCACCTCTACAGTACCTGCGTATCCCTAGCAATCATATGATATAAAGTTCTTCTCAGTCACAAATCACCAGTTAGGAAAACTGATGTTCAGACCACGTAGTGACCACGCCCACTTCAACACCCCACTCAAATCGAGTGTAATGTTCGAATGTTTTACCATCGTGCGGATTCTCTACGGAAAAAGCACTCAATGTACCTCTGAAATATTAAACTATAATATTGTGGCTTTCTATTTCGCTAATTTTCTAACTTGAAGGTAAAGTTTTTCCCTCGTCATTTTTACCTTTTCTCCGAGCGGTTGCGTGAAATCAACAAGGCATTTTTGATCAAAACACGACCTAGCGAAGGGTCTCGGGCGATATCTCTTTTACGCAGGCGCAAATTAAAAATGTACCGCCAGAATCAAAAAGAGGAACAAATTTCCTTTGTTTTGATATGTAAAGTGTCGAACAAAAAGCAGATTTACCCTCGTCAAATGGCATTTCAAAACAGCTGTATCTTCCTCCTTTTGATTTTTTCCTGTTTTGTAAGCGTGAAAGCAGTAGGAGAGGGATCGGGAAACTCAGAAAGCGCTTCGGGAATTAGTCTGCCATCGTTTACTTACAAGATAAACAAGTAAGATTTGTGAAGTTCGTTGAAGTACGAAGTCTAAATAAATGCCTTTTTAAAGCTTGTTTGCTGGATTTTTCGTAAACATCCCTGATTAGTTTTTCGTTTCAGCTTACTAATCTATACTATTTCAAAGCAATGAAAAGACGAAGACGGAGAACCATGAGTCGGTCCTTTCAACAATCGTAAACAAAGTGTTTGAGCAATCAGGTATACGAGGTGTAATAATCAATAGCCGCACATTAGAAGTCTTCAGAAAGAAAGTATTCTGTCTTCAGAAGGCTGTCAAGAAAGCTAGTGATCGTGGCGGAAGGCAATTAAATGCGCTTCTTAGCAAGTTGGAAACGGGCTTTCGGTATCGATTTAATATCATATCGATCTCAGTATCATACAGTTTTGTATCTTTCCTCCGTGGATTTGCCTTTCCAACGAGGGTTTATGTTGAGTATTCATTGCAAAATCCCTTTGTTTTTTTCTTTCTTTGGCTTGTCCGCCATTTTGAAAATTCGTAACGGAGAGCATGCGCATTACGTGGGGTTAGTGGTTGCGTACACCTGGAACCGAGAAAAACAAATGTTCGTCGCACTGGGGAAAGAGTTTGATATGTTGAATTGAGGGCTCTTTAGACACTCGATTTCTTATATGGCATCACTATGAAGACGTAATAGAACTGATACACCTACACTACATAGGATTAAAATGTCTGTTGCGCTGTTGCGAGAAGGAGGAAAATATTACTGGAAGTGTAAACTCTTTTTAAAAAGAGTTTCAGAGACGTTTCAGAGATGTGTATCTTCGGCTATCACAAAAAAATTGACCCCCTCTTAAATTTACTGGGAAAAATGAACTTACAAACTCCTTGTTGAAAAAATTGGAATTCATTTGACCGATACGCCGGTAGTTTCAATTTTGCTTTTTCCTCGGGCTGCTATAAAACAGTTTATATATTGACTAATGAATAAAATGTTTTGAAATACCGTTCGGAATTTGCCTTTTTTTTTGCGCGTGCAAATCAAGGGTAGACAAAGTTTTTAAAACATTTGACTAGAATTTCATGGAGTTCACCTCGATAATTTTCGTCGGCCAGAGTCGAGACGCGCCAAGGTAAGGGACATCGCCCTCCAGTAAAATAATTTTCTAAAGAATAAACGTGGCAAGCGTGAGAAAACGCACATTTTTTTTATCATTGTGATCAAAGCCCAATGATGTACCTAAATTGGTACTTACGGTATCAAACCATTGATTATGACAGGGTGAGCTTAATTTTTCTGTCGAGGTCGACGTGACTTCACATTAAAAGCGTTTTTGACGGAACAAACTAGTGAGCATCACTGCACGAACTGAGAAAGTAAAAACTTGTATTTATCTCCCACGCGTTTCGTCTGACAATAGTAGACTTCATCAAGGATTTTTTCAAGTAGGGTAAATAAGCTTGCTCATATACAAATAGTAAATAAGTTGTCTCTTTGCTATTGAAGCCAGTGGATAGAATTCGCCAGGTGCGCCTACGGTGTTATACATGCGTGACATTTTCCGGACGTTACATGTAAGAGTACGTGATCCGTTTGAGGGTCACAGATTTAGGGTAAATATTTCACCCCTCAACATCACGCAATGTCTCTAGTTTATAGAGGTCTTAGAACGTTTCATTATATGGAGTTGCCTTCTGCGGGTAGAAGGCTACAAGCGAATTTCTCAGGCGTAATTGCCTTTGATTTCTTAATTGATGTCGTCGCAAACCTAGTTTTTGGGAGTCACGAAACAAAAAAAACTTATCAGGACCTAGTTTCATGTTCTAATGGAAATAAATAGCAAATAAAAACACATTTTCTTGAGAAATAAAGTCACAAATGACGGGGGTTCTCTGAAACAAATAGTGATAGAAAAGGATTTCAGTTCTGGTCAATATTGACTTTTTACGGCCTACTCCCAAATCTGAGGGAACTCACTGAGGGAATAAAAAAACATAAATGTGTGATAATGCAAGCAAAACAATTAAAATCCAAATGAAAAAAAAGGAGAAAACATAGGAACCCGTGTTGCAGCGTGCAGATATCTTTCGAGCCAGACCTACACACCTAAGCCCGACACCACCCAGAGAAACTCGAAAGAGTCCTGTATATGAACTAGCTCGCACGTGCACGCAGGAAAGGCCATGACAATCAGCGAAAATAATAGCAAATGCAAATGATATTTGCAGTCAAAAAACAGGAAAATAAGATAACAGAAGGATTAAGAACTTTCTAGAAGTATCTTCTTGAAAAAGATGAACAATTTTTACTTCTCATGAAAAGTCACGCAGTAACCCTACAAATACTATTTCTATACGCGGAATTTCTTGATCGTGGAAAGTGGAAAAAACATTTTCCAGTCTTATTTTCTGGAAACGTGGCGTAGTTAATGAATTTATGGGGCTATTGATATTTCCTATCAAATAAGGGAGCAGAGTTTCCCGTCATGCGCGGTATGGAAAAGCCGAAGTTGTTACACTCGGGAACTTGTACGTCAACAAGCAGGCGACATGTGACTTTAAAATCTCCTCTCCTGTTACAGTTTCCTTATTGTAAACTGTGCGATAATGATAATAGACGATCAAAGTATAGGCTAATGAATGTTTTGTTCTGTACAAGAGCCCTATGTCCTGATTTTAGCAAATCTTGAAAGTAATAAACGACTGAAGAAAGAAACGCAACCATTTTCCCATTGATTTTTCGTCAACATGCATCTCTCTAAACGTGAAATTTTTCATTCCTACAAAAAATCTCGAGCGTTTTTAACATTTTTAAGCTTTCTTGATCAATCATCTTGTATAAAGAACTAAAAAATGTAGGTTTATTTTATCAAGTGACCGCCTAGAGCAAGAAGTGCGTGACAGGTGTAGTTGAGAGAAACTTGTCACAATCGCAGATTTTAAAAGGTATCCAAGACAAAAATACAGTAGTGCGCAAAGATTTTTTTGATGATTTTCAGAGATGAAATGATAAGTTATAAAGGGTAATTAAGATTAGTGTTGTAGCTTGACAAGCCGTCAATCAAACTGACTGATGCTCGCGGCGGCCATTAACTAAGGATGTAAAAATATGTGTGCAAATCCTCAAAGTAATCAGTTAAATACCATCGCAGTGAGAGCTTCATATATTTTACCTATTTGAAGCGATTTCATTAGTGAAAACCAAGAAAAACCGGGGGGTGGTCTATCTCCTCACGGAAAAAACCAAAACAGAAACCAGTCTGTTTTTTTTTTAGTTTTGGGGTAGAGCCTTTAAACTGACAAAGTTTCACTGAAATCGGTGAGATGGCATGTAGCACGACCGCCCGGTGCTCTAGTGGACACGCTCTTAAGTCACTATCTGGCTGTTTTAAAAAGAAGCATCAGGACTTAACTAACTCTTAGTGTTTTTGTGGGAGTTGTTGATCCCAATTTAAGTGTTCTTAGAAGTTTCAGTTGTCTGTAAAGCTAAATAAATCTAACTGACACCTAATAGGGCCTGTTTATTCTTTTCCGTTTAGTTTCTTTGTTTTGTTTTGTTTTGTCTTTTTTTTTTCTTCTGGTCTGTAATGATTGCAATGGTTTCAGGTTCTTTTCTCAGAATTGAGCTACAGTAATAGTATGCTTCTTTGTATTGTTGCCTACAGGAGCCGCTGCTTGTCTTGAATTGAAGAGATTTGAAGAAGCAATCAGTTGGTGTGATAAGGGACTAGTTGTATCCTTTGAAGGAATCGTTCATTTTTAACCGTGGGTATAAAAAAAAAGTTTCCGCAATTTGATGTTTCAAGGGAGAAAATACAAAGGGTATTAATTATGATGGGAACTTGTCAGGTCATATACTTTAAGTGTGTGTGATTAAAAATATAGGAGACGTTATTACCTCATAACTTATTAATGAAATTACTCCTTTTAGCCAATTTAGTTCTACTATCCATGCCAATAACTGTTACATTAGTTTAAATAACCCTTTAATTTCCAGACCAAATTTGTCTAGAAACGATAATAACAAAGTAGTTTGCATTTAAAAAGCAGCAATGTTTTTATCATAACAAGGTCACCCTTTATCATCCCTCTTGTTCAGAGGCTTGGGAACCAAGCACGCAAATGTAAAAATGGACTATTACATATCAATATGATCAGAAACATAATCTTTTTTGTTTTTTCCACATTTTTTACCCTTAACATAAAAAAGATGGACAAAACCAATAGGATCTTGTGGTCATTAAGACTTCAGTCTGTCAGTGAAGTGGGAGATAAGTCCATGGAGGAAAAAGATCCTATTAGTCATGACCATGGTAGTGCAAGTTCAGGTGATGTCAAGAAAGTCATAGATCTCTATAATCGGGGAAAAGAAGTCATAGAGTACCTCAAGCTATATCTTAAAAAAGCTAAAGAAGTAGGAGACAAGCATGGGGAGGGTAAAGCTTATAACAGTCTTGGCAATGCTTATTTCAGTCTGGATGATTTCAAAAAAGCCATAGAGTACCACAACCTACATCTTAAAATAGCTAAAGATATAGGAGACAAGCATGGGGAGGGTATCGCTTATGGCAATCTTGGCAATGCTTATCGCCGTCTTGGTGATTTCAAAAAAGCCATAGAGTACCACAACCTATATCTTAAAATAGCTAAAGAAGTAGGAGACAAGCATGGGGAGGGTGATGCTTATGGCAATCTTGTCAATGCTTATGACAGTCTGGGTGATTTAAAAAAAGCAATAGAGTACCACAACCTACATCTTAAAATAGCTAAAGAAGTAGGAGACAAGCATGGGGAGGGTGGTGCTTATGGCAATCTGGGAAAAGCTTATATTAGTCTGGGTAATTTCAAAAAAGCCATAGAGTACCACAACCTACATCTTAAAATAGCTAAGGAAGTAGGAGACAAGCATGGGGAGGGTAGTTCTTATGGCAATCTTGGCATTGCTTATAACCGTCTGGGTGATTTCAAAAAAGCCATAGAGTTATACAACCTACATCTTAAAATAGCTAAAGATATAGGAGACAAGCATGGGGAGGGTGGTGCTTATGGCAATCTTGGAAATGCTTATTTTAGTCTGGGTGATTTAAAAAAAGCCATAGAGTACCACAACCTACATCTTAAAATAGCTAAAGAAGTAGGAGACAAGCATGGGGAGGGTGGTTCTTATGGCAATCTTGGCAATTCTTATCACCTTCTGGGCGATTTAAAAAAAGCCATAGAGTACCACAACCTACATCTTAAAAAAGCTAAGGAAGTAGGAGACAAGCATGGGGAGGGTAACGCTTATGGCAGTCTTGGTAATGCTTATCACCGTCTGGGTGATTTCAAAAAAGCCATAGAGTACCACAACCTACATCTTAAAATAGCTAAAGAAGTAGGAGACAAGCATGGGGAAGGTGGTGTTTATGGCAATCTTGGCAATGCTTATGGCCGTCTGGGCGATTTCAAAAAAGCCATTGAGTACTACAACCTAGATCTTAAAATAGCTAAAGAAGTAGGAGACAAATCCTTAGAGGCAATTGCCTACTATTCATTAGGATACGTTTTTGAGTTGCAAGGTGGACTGCCAAAAGCCGTTGAACATTACCAAGCTAGTATAAACTTATTCAATTCCTTGAGAGTACTTCTTAAATCTAAAGATGAGTGGAAAGTTAATTTTCGAAATCAGCATCAAATGGCGTATACGGGTTTGTGGAGAGTTCTCGTAGAACAAGGTAATGTAGATGAAGCTTTAATAGTTGCTGAGAAAGGACGAGCTCAAGCTCTGACCGACCTCATGGAATCCAGTTTTTGTGATGGAACAAGTCACCGCAAGGGAGAAGATGAAGATTGCGCAGTTTTAAAAAACGTTCCATCAAACACTGTCTTTCAGGCAGTGGACAAAGCTAACGTCAATCTTTGGGTTGTGTCCGAAGGAAAACAAGTTCAGTTAAGACAAAGTAAGCTCAAAGGTTTTGTTTCAGAGAATAGTGGATCTAGTCAGTCCTTTGAGTCGTTCATGCTGGGTGTCTATACACAACTTGGTGTTCGTTCTAATGTGAGATGCGAGAATCGATCTTTAGATGCTTTGAGGGAGGGCCGTTCAAAAGTGGATGAGAAAACCAAAGAAGCCAACCCTCAACCTCACATCCAACAAGACGGATGCTTGAGCACTTTGTATGATATTGTTATGAAGCCAGTGGCTGACTTGATTGAAGGGGATGAGCTACTCATTATTCCTGATGGACCACTGTGGATCGCTCCTTACGCTGCATTGAAGGATGGTAATTCTAAATACCTGTGTGAATCGTTCACAATCCGAGTCGCTCCATCGTTAGCAAGTCTTAGACTCATTGCTGATTGCCCAGATGATTATCACAAAAGCAGTGATGCGTTACTTGTAGGAGATCCGTGGGTATCCGAGGTTACTAACAGCGAGGGAGAGAAAGTCCTGGAGCAGCTTCCGTGTGCTAAAGAAGAAGTAGAAATGATCGGAAAAATTCTGAATATCACGCCAATCACTGGCAGAAAAGCCACGAAACGTGAGGTGTTAAAAAGACTCAGTTCCGTTTCCTTAGTTCACTTTGCGGCACACGGATGTCCGGAAACTGGCGAAATTGCTCTTACACCTGGCCTACACCGAATATCTACTGTGCCTACGGAGAAGGAGGATTACATTTTAACGATTCGAGATGTGTTGAATGTTCAACTTCGCGCCAAACTTGTTGTGCTCAGTTGCTGCCACAGTGGTCGGGGCGAGATTAAGGCTGAAGGCGTGGTTGGCATTGCGCGCGCTTTTATGGGGGCTGGTGCTCGGTCTGTTGTGGTGTCCCTGTGGGCGATTGATGACGAGGCTACTCTCCAGTTCATGAAATGCTTTTATCAACACCTTGCAGAAGGTAAACCTACAAGCAAGTCACTGAACCTGGCCATGAAAAGCCTCAGAGAATCAGATGAGTTCCACGACATCAAATACTGGGCGCCCTTTGTGCTGATTGGAGATGACCTCACGTTTGACCTGATGGCAAAGGAAAGAGAAAATTTGAATAGAAAATCAAATAAATGAGAAAATGTTTTTTTTCATCTCAAAAGAATGACGTAGGAACTTGGAAGGTTTAAATGCTTCTCTATTTTAAACAATTTTTGGCTATTTTTCTTTACTTTTTAATTTTTTGTTAGATGGAACTTGAGATGTGCAACTTTACTATGGTGAAGAAATAAACCAGTCTATTTCATTATATTTTGATCAGTGGAATTGTCATTTTTTGTTACCTTAACTAATTTACATGCTTGCGAAGAGAACGAAATGCAACAAGGCCTCTGTTATGAACGAGGTTTCCATTTCCACCAACATGTCAATCAGCTCTGTTCCTGTATTACAATCAGTTGTATGGAAAATAATTTAAAGGTTATTTCTTTTACTCAACCAGGGGCTTTTCCACCGGATTTTAATTACCTTTATGCTCTAAGCTTTTGATAAGCAAAGAAACAGTTCGTCATTTGCAAAAGTTGGCGAATTTTTATTTCCATAACTTTGATTGAATATGTATGTGAATTGAATACGTCAATTGATCTTAGACCGTTTTCTACAGCATAAATTACTTTGTTACAATTTTCCTTCATCTTTACAAAAAAATTGATGACCATTTTCAACTTCATCCATTTTAATGCTATCTAATTCTGTCAGTGCCAAGATTGCCATTCTAAGCTTAATTTGAAGAAGTAAACAACAGAGATGATGTTATTAAATTTACTAACCATATGTTAGAGACATTACACCTACTTTTAGGGGTGTAGCCAGCCTCTAGTCCCGTAGGCCCGGCCTACAATTGTTTTCTCCCCGCTTGACTTTTACTAAAAGATAATATGACCCTTGCAAATGTTGAAACAAAAATTGAAATTTGTGAGGGAAGAGGCTTACATTTAGTTAAAAAGCTGGCTACAACCCTGTTTTCAATCAAACGAGTCTGGCCAATTTTTGTCCGTTTTACCAAACACTTCTCCGTTCGTTTTAAAGAACGACGACAGAGAGGCTAAAAATTGTCCATGTAATCTAAACTAGGAAAGAGGGACGCAGAGTTCGCTATAATTAAAGTTTCCATAGGTGTGACTTTTATTGTATGTGACATGGAATTTGTTGTTTCTAGTACGACAATATTTACGCTCATAAATGAGAGAAGCAGTTAACGTAAGCCATGTAGTCCTCAATGGGAATTATCTTAGTGAAAAGGCTCATTAATTAATGTAAACCTAGTGCGTAGTTGAAAAGGTTCAGGGCTTCAGGATAAAACTTCTAATTGTTGAAAATCACCTCTTGAAATTTTTTCATCGCTTTAAATTTACCTCAGCATGATTTGAGGATGTCTGATAATATGCGTGGTTGAATATAATGTAACTAGGATTTTAAAGACATGCTGGGACAGTTTCAACTAAACATGGTTTGTATAATGTCAGTGGATTTCGTGTCAAGTGTTTTGATGCTATTTTAAGTTGAAGATAATTGTTCATTTACCTTAGTTTATATTAATTAACTCATGAACTCCCAAGTTCTGAAGAAAAATTCTCCCACCTGATAAGAATGTGTTTCTCTTTGCTGCCGCTTGTTCCGAGAATTCGATGTAACATTATGTTTCTAGGAAAAGATTATCCTCCAGTTTGGATTTTCTCGAATTGTTATTGACTCCATGTTTGTCGGTGTATTAATACCGTGAGGAGAATTTAAATTATGATCAGTCTTGGGAGTAAATGGGTTCATTTTAGCGTCTCCGTTTAGCGCGTATTTTACTTAATGCCTTGAACGATTTAATGCAGTATTATTGTACTTATTTTTTTACTTCTTTTTGTAAGAGAAATATACAGTGTATAAAATACAAAAACTGCGTTGATTTACATTGTCTGTCTCCATATTCTTAGGATGCACGTAAGATGTAGAGAAAGCAGATCCTATGGGGACTTCAATACTTGTTTTGACCCGCGCACCAAGTTGATAATGTGTGCAGCTAACAGTGTACTAACATACCATGTTTCAAGCCCCCGCCCACTTAACAAGCGCGTCATCTCTTCGATTGTATCTCTTTCACTGTCTATCGTTCTCCGTATTGCCAACGGTTTTGAACGCCGAAGGATGTGTTCTTACTGTTACATATCTGTGCCTTTTTTATCTTTTTGCTCACACAAGTTTTTACACCTTTTCACATTTGCGCATCCCTTTATTTTTCTCCTTCCTTCTGTTCCTTCCATTTCTTTTTCGTCGCAATTTTCCTTTATTCCCATCTTTACGCGCACCTCTTTTATCGCCCTCAACTTTGTTCTTCTGCGCGCTTCATAGGACGCGACTATATCCTTGTCTCTTTCAGTTTTCACTCGTCTCAATCTTCGCGCAACGTCTGACTTCTTACATCTCATATACCTCGTTACTCCCCCATAGTAGTTGTGATCATGCGTATTATGTCCACTTTGGGATGGTGTCCTCTTAAAGTCATTTCTAGTGAAATCTCGGTTTTCCTTTCGATTGATTCCTAGTCCACAGGGTGCCAGTGCTTGCTCTCCTCAGTCCTCTCATCATAATAGCAGTTATAAAACGGAAGAGCTCCCTCCAAGTCTCGGCGACATAATCTGTGCATTTTGTTGGAAACAAGTCCCTCAATGTCCAAATTAAGGCTTCTTCTATCATCTGATTGGGAATGGGTCAAACTCTCGCCCAGGGTCCACCTACAATGCGAATCCAAAATGGCGGCAGGCCAATCCACAGGCGGACTCTACTGAGTCGGTAGCCGCCATCTCGGATGTAGACGCAGAGAAGACCCTGAGGAAGAGTTTTGACAAAACAATAATTAAGAAAGGATAAGTTACAATAGTGCTTAGAGAGATAGCCGATAACAACTTGAGAGATTCATTGTAAGCGACCACGTTCCGTCGATTATTAAACTCCATATCTCCTCGAATACGCACTCCTATATGCCCCTCTTCCCCTTCCCTATACATCCCTGTACTGCAAGTTTTATCATCATTCAGCACAATACAACATTATACCCCTGAGAAGCACTGTAAATCCGTAAAATGCAGTAACTAGAAAACGCTTCACAACAATATGTACCCGTAGATAGCACTATGCTTCCCTCTACTGAATTTTAAATCACCATAGAGCGCTATATAAACATTTGCTCCAATTTGGCGCCAAAATAAGTGCAAATATTTGTCCGCGGTCAATTTCTCGAATTTTCTGTTCCAAGATGCGGAAACTGTGAGCTTCGAGGAACAGATAATATCCAAGGACAAATATCCGTACACATTTTCGCGCAAAAGAGACGCTATTGCGTTTTTTATCCTTCAAATATTTTGCAACGCACGTGAAAAATGTTAATGAACAGCTTACTGAATTGAACACTCGATGAAAACCTCTGCGTCGTTTAAAGAAAACACAGCATTTTCCAGCGCAGTCATGACTCGTCTGACGTGAAGATACAGAGATCGAGAGTTGATTACGGCCTCAAGTTTCAAACTCGTAAAGGTGGGAAATATGTCTTGAATTCTTGGGTTGGACTCAAAAAGTCTCAAACAAAATCATTCATGATCATCGTTATCAATTCTGAATAATTGAAATTCGATTCACGTTTACTTTGGATAATAAATTTTACCCCCATTTTGCCAGTTATACAAAGAAATCAAGACACTAAGCAATACCCACAACAAGACACAGCTACAGTGTTGTGAATCTCCATCCTCATCTTCAATAGAACTATGCTATCACGAAGGTAGTGCGCGTGCGTTTGCATTTTAAAATCACTTTAGCACAAAATAATGACCCGATTGACGAGAATACAGGCTAAACACCCAAAAGCGCTGGTGCTTTTTGCGTTTTGGCGTTTTCTCGCTAGAAAGCCCGAGAAAAAGTTTTCACTGTCTATTAAATTATTGATTGTTTTCATTTCTCGGGTTCTTCTTTAAAACCGGAACTCGGTTCTTAGCGACTTGTTCAACTACTGCTCTTATTTAAGAGTGCTTATTTAACTCAGATCGAGATGCCACTATATTTTTCGACTATATCAACTCTAGGCACCCTAACATCAAGTTCACTGTGGAAAAGCAGTTTAATCACAAATTACCCTTTTTAGATGTCCTGATTGACAACCATGACCCCAGTTCCTCTCTAACTAGGATTTACCGCAAGAAAACTTTCACTGGGTTACTAACTAATTATTTCAGCTTCACCTCGTACTCTTACAAAGTGGGTCTCATTAAGACACTCGTTGATAGGGCTTACAAGATTAATAGCACCTGGTTAGGGTTTCACGACGACATTAACAAACTCACTGATATTCTAAAAAAGAATCTTTTCCCTGCTCATTTAATTAATCGAGAAGATTATAAACCGTTTCATTACTGGGACGAAAAACAATCATCATCCTCGGGGTTCCCCTCCTACCACTTCACCTACGTTCTACTTTAAGCTACCCTACATAGGCCACTTTTCTGCTATCACTCAATAAAAGATCCGCCATTTATGAAGCGCTATTGCAATGACTTGGATATCAAACTGGTTTTCTCTTCCTTCAAAATCGGTAACTTGTTTGGTGTGAAAGACCCTGTCCCTGACCGGCTCCGTTCACGAGTGGTCTATAAGTATGTGCTGGTGTAATGCCTGTTACGTCGGTGAAACTTGCCGGAATTTTTCCACACGTGTTAGAGAGCACTTAGTAAGTGACAAGGCCTCTCACATTTTCAGGCATTTGAAAGATTCTCCGCACTGTCGCGCTCTGTGTTCAGCAGATAACTTCCATGTTTTAGATCACGCCTCCACCGGTTTTCAGCTTAAGATAAAAGAGGCTATTCATATTCAAAGAGAACAACCATCTTTGAATCAACAATTACACCATGTAAATCTAAAACTATCTTTTTAATTCTCACACTTGCATGCTTTACCTCTCTTCTTGTTGTCACTATTCATCTTAATTAGCATTGTTCTACTTACTATATAATTCAACTTTCAACGCTTTGTACAGTAATTAACTGAAGATGACAGAAGTTTCTGTCGAAACATGTTTTACAAACTCAAAAGTTTTTCGCTTTCTTTAAATTCTTGACTTGCCTGCTAATGTCAAGACCCTTTAAAACACTTACCGTTTAAACACTTTCTTTCCTATGACGCTCCTAATGCGCTCAATGAGCTGCCAAAATTCTCTTAGAATGCATTTTTGTTCGCGTGACAGCGGAATGTCTCTGATTCTTGAAGTCGATGTTGCCGCAGTAACTGAGACTTCTATTTCGATTCTGTTATTTCGCGAGGCAAAACAACCCATGGCATTTACAGTTTAAGAAAGCTGTCATACGCTGTGATGATGGGTGGTGTATAAAAACTCTGACGTTATCTGTGCAAAACGTTTGTCTTTATATCGACCAACATCTTGACTTGTTGTTCACACTAACTGAAAAGGGAAAAATTCCGAATTTCTGCTTGAAAAAACCGCCGTTTGGTCGACGGACGAGGTTGCGTTCACAATCTATCTCTGGGGACGCAGAGAGTTTGAATTCACATTTCCTCGTCTGGTCAAAATGCACATGGCATAGTATTCGTGTTTTCGTGTTTCAAGCGAAATTGTTAGTTAATTCTTTTGTTTCCAATTAACATATAAACGGGTTTAAACCCTGATGATCCAATTCTATTTTATTTTTAATACTGAGACTGCGTGCTCTCTTTGTTACGTACTTGTTCAAACGCATCTAATTCAGTGTTTAAAATAATAAGAGGTGAGGTTGATTCAAAGGATTGCTCCTAATCTAACCTGAACTGATTAACAAGGATCTTTACATTCAATATTTCATTTAATTATATCATAAATCAGTGAAAAATATCTATATTTTCGCCGTAAACAGAAATGAAAAGATGTATATCGACAGTTTCGCTGTTTTCAGTGACTCAGACAACGACTAAACTGACAAGTTGTTCAATCAATTGATTTATGCATACAGTATTTCATTTTCGTCAAACGCTTAAACGTTAATTCATATGATCAAATTCCGTTCAAACAAGGTACAGAAATCAACAAGGAAACTGTTTTGCATGGAACATTAACTCGAAAGACTGGAAAAGAAAGGGAATCTAGCTTCAAAAAGGGTCTAAATATCTCGAAGTTTTCCTCTTAAAAAATGACAATTCGAAAATACAGCTAACTAATGATTAACACGGATTCTCTTAGCTGCGGAGTATCACTGTGTTATTTCCTTCCCAAGAAGCTGAGGCGTAATAAGGTTTGTCAAGAGATAATTCGCAGGAGAGCGAATGGAAGGTATGCTAAAAAATTATATCAGTATCAGGGTAAACTGTATTGATCATACACGATTGTCTGGTGATCAAAGAAACCAATCACAAGTGCCACATACGTAAAAGATGGTTTAGCTTACGGCGAAGGCACTTAAAGAGCGTGTTACTGTATTTACCATAACAGTTGTAATCTTTTAAGTTCTCAAAAATAAGAATGAGGGTAAAAAAAACTACCGTATATTCGGTTAAAAGTGATGGAGTCTTTCGACCGCTTAGGGGTGCAGCTGATATCAATGGGAAACTCTTTGTAATATTTTTCTTATATTTGTTTCATTATAAGGTCAACTTAATTTTATCTTATCCTAGTCAGGTGGTGTTGACATTGCCATGACAACTTGTATTGAGATACACCGGCCACTGTTACAGGAATCAGCCGATTGCTACTAGCACTTTTTTCCAGACGGACAAAGACAAAGAAATCCGTATCATGTAAAACTCTCAGCATTGGCTTTCAGTTTGTTGTTGCTATGGCAGCTAGTTGGAGCATTTTTGTACATGGTTCGTGATGTTGCTTGCTTCCGGGACAAATCCACTGCATATCAGTGCAAAACAGATGCGGCTTTCCCTTTTCAGAGGATGTCACGATGGTGTGGCTGGCTTAGCTATGTATTTTTCACCGCTATCTCTATAGCTGCCCTTCAGAATGTTCCGCAGTTCCCCGGTTACAAGGCAATCTTACATCGGCTCAAATGCGTTCCTTCATTTTGGACTTTAATAATCCTTTTGACCGTCGCCTTGTTTCGATATGTTAAGCTACTAATTTCTATCAAATCTTTGTCATCTTGGGTCGTAATTGTTTGCTTGATGATAAGTTACATTCTGAGAACTTTGGTCGTGGGATTTTTAAATTACACCAGGTTAAACTCCCTAAAGCAGAAATATCCCATTTACATTTTTGTTATATCTAAACTGACAGTGTTCTTGTTTTTCATTGTTACCTTTATCAATCTCATGGCTACCCTTTTGGCCCTGAGTGTGGAAATCCGCGAGATGCATAAAACAGATCGAGCTAAGAACTCGCTCGATTTGAATTTGGATACCGTAAACGAACTGTTGGAGGTCTTTGGTACAACCACTTTTAGAATTAAGTTAATGAAATTCTTTTGGGAAAAGTTTTTCGTCGACGACAGGAACATTCTTTGTTTCCATATACCTTTGGAGTGAGAAAGACAGCGAAAATCGAGAGAGTTTCATTCTCGTCCTCAGAGCCACTCGTTTTCGCTTACTCTGATCACTTGACAAGCTCACTGAAATGATTGCGCTCACTTAGAGCGCAAAAAGTTTTTCCTTTTTTTTTTTTTACAATACCTGCTTCTTGTTGCTACGCCTAACCTCTTATGTAGATTAGTTTTTCAGCGATTTTTTTTTCTAGTTAAATGTTCTAAATTTGTATAATTTATTACCTTGTTTGAATTGTTAATGTTGGAACAGTGTGACACATGAAAGACGCAGTGTGTATTTTGAACCACAAAGCCATAATTTCGTCATACTATACAGCAGAAGCTCTCCACTTCCGGTTTTCCGTGTCATGTACTTCAAGCTTGAGCCTCGGTTTTTCCCGTGAAAAAAAAAACTCCTAATATTAGGCAGCAACGCTGTTGGCAAGTTTGTAGTTTGGGTAGTTGTCTTGAGATTTCGCGTTCGATAATGCTTCTGTTAATTTTATTTGGACCTTACTAATCTTAATGAGTTCCTTTGAGATATTCCCAAAACGGACTGGGGTGGCAAGGTTGTAAAAAAAGGTTATAGAACAGTCAAAAGTCGCGTCCGTTTACCCGACAGGGTGAGACTTCACCAGGTTGTGTAGGATCTTTATACATCGGGTAAATGCCTTTATTTTGAGCTTAAATGAACTCTTTTGACGGATTTTCTATGATTTCTGGTGTTGTGAAAGTCTGCTACAACTACCGATGATTGCTAACTTAAATTTGAATACTTCGTTGCAGAGAACTGCCGCTCCGCGTTAGTTTAAAACTTACCTTAAAATGCTAAGGAATTGACAAAAATATCTTAGAAAAGTAACAGTATTTACGTAAAAAAAACCAATAAAATAATAGAAACCAGGATTCAATAAAGGATGCAGAAGTAGCCATTCAGTCAAATCTAACTTTCCTCAAGGCAATTATGAGAAGTTGGGTATGTTAGCTGTGCTACAACAAAAAAGGGAATTCATCACTCCAAAGTAGATGATGTTAAATCTTGTCTCAATTGACTTTAATTCAGAGGTTGAGACCACCCTAATGTACATTTGAATCCAGCGCTTGACTGCTGTGCCATGACTTTCCATTATGATCAGAATATTATTTTGAGTTGGATGAAGAACTCAATGCTGAATGCAAAGAAAAATTTCAGCAGGAGTATTGTAGTTTCCTTTTGCTCAATGAGTGAGGTAGTGGTGTCAGATATGTTTAGTCACTATCTCGCTGTTTTGAAAAGAAGTAAGGACTTAACTTAACTCAAAACTGTAAGAGGACTTTCCTCATTCGTCAAGTATAATTCAACTTCAAGTGCCATAATACATGTAATAATAATGTAACTAAAGAGACAGCATGAGTAAATCTTATTCTTGGTGAACTTCAAACCTTAGTTTGAGTCACTTCCTAGGAATCAATTATCAACTGATTGAGTAAATCAAATATGTGAACTCAAACTAAAGGGAAAGTAGCATTAGAATCAAATAAAATTTTAAACTTTGTATATAACCTTATCCTAGAAAGATTAACCAAAAACATTTACCATTATAAAAATTTAAAAATGGGTTCCATTTTTCCTTTTACGCATTGAGTAGGATAAAAACGGGGGATCTGGCGCATTTTTATATCCACCTTGATTTTTAAGGCAACTCATGAATTTATCCTTGAAATCAACCTTGATTTTAAAAAAAACAGTTCTTGCACATTTTGGAGACAACCTTGACTTCAAAGGCAACTTAGATTATTCACCCGTGAATAGCATTCACTCCTTCTTCAGAATGTCTTACTCGTGAGTTGTGAAGAGGCTGTGAATGACATCATCTTGAACGATCCTCTTGTCACGCCTTCGGGGTGTTAATTGTTCGCTTGAAGATTTTCAAATATTGATGTTGTAACTTAGAGATCGTGGCGTGCCTTTATTTGTTCTTCTGTCGAAATTGTGTCTTTGTAAATGAGAAGTTATCTCAAGAAGACTCCATGACCTATCAGAATCTCATGATCCAATGGAATCCTACATTTGTTCTGATAGACATCAATAAACTTATTCTCCTTTACATCTCCTGATTTCTTCTTATCCTCAGCATTGCATCTGATCTTCGAAAGATCATCAGACTGAATATCTTCTCTGAACATGCTCGTCCTCTCATTCTCGGTTAAGAAGAGGTCTTCACAGAGCTTGAATAAATCCTAACCATCAGTGTCCTGCGCGATTTCTCCTGCGAATTTCACAGTCAACCTGTCAACAAGAGCTCTTGCGACATTGTTCACGATAGACATTGTTTGCGTGACCACTAACTGCCGAGTCAAAGATGAGTGAAAGAGATCCTGATACAAGGACAACTCCTTCACTAAGAATTTAGTTAGAATTTACTTTTTTGAACGAGTGCGTGACTCTATATCGGCAGAGAGCGAGACCGCGTGAGAACTCGCAGGAATGGAGGTGCTTCGTGACAAAAGTCACGCACTTCCGGTTTTAAGCTTGCACAGAGTTATGGACTAGGGGACTCCCCCTTTCGTTTTTACAACGCGCAATTACGATTCTTCGTTCTATAACGAAGCTGTCGACTCTCTCTTGGTACTTTCTCAGTCTTAGTGACTTTTTTTTAAAAACACCTCCATGATGGATTGAGGAAGCAAGGTCGTAAAAGCAGTCAAACGTGCCTTCCATTTCCTCGACAGAGTTAAGAACGCATGGTTGTATCAGATTTTTGAATGTAAGGTAAATACTTTTATTTCGCATTTCTCAGTTAACATTTTCTCCCTCAAATGCTCTTAATCTGTCCTAATTTTCTCTGATCTCCGGCAGTGAAAGACGTTCGTGCAGTTAACTAACGAGGATTGCTAACTTTTACTTGATTCTGGGGTGTATCAATTGTATTACCGCTTCGTGTTATTTAAGAGCTAATTAAGCTGAGCTTGTTTGAACAAGTTACAGCTGTCGAATTCACAAAAATTCGCAGGCGATACCCAGCATTTACCTTGGATAAAATAAGTAATTCAGGGAGAATTAAAAGGAATGTTAAAGTCATTGATTTGATTTTGTGCAGGCGCTGATGATCGGAACACTTTCAGTTTCGTCTGCGTGTCTTGCACACAAGCGCGATCGTGTTTTGCACTAGCTTTCGTGTCAGGCTTACATAAGTATTAATTTAATGTGCTCCCGTATTTACGATGCATTTCATCAAAACATATAAACATTTCCAGCGTATTTCACGTGTTCATGTTTATTATTTTATACAGTTTAAAAGTAATTTTTTTTTTGATGCTTAGATTCTCCCTTATAACTGTACTGTTAAACTGATTTACTTGTTAAATACATGATGACTTTTCTTCAAATGTCACCTGGTGATTAATTGGAAGCGTCCTTTCAACTAACTGCCTTTGATTTTTAGGATTCCAATTCATCAACTGGTAATGATAGATTGGTATCTGAGTAAAGTTTACCTTTAAATGGGTAGCAGAAATTAGCCAGGTAAGCCTGATGCCAGGGGGAAAGGGGATGGACTGGCATCCCATCCAAGGGGTGTAGTTGCTCCCACTCACTTCGTGTGAGGAAACCGGTATTATAAGCTCAGGGCCTGGATGGGCCACTACTCAAATACAGACTTTACCCGACTACCTCAGCCTCTTAAATAATTTGAATTGCTGTTGCAACAAATTATATGAACTTGCAACACTTGCCCAATTTATTTCAGTCAATTGAAAATGTATTTTATAAATATTGAATCATATTTTAGTACATATCTTTGTTCTTTTGCTGCTTTAATAGTATGACATTAATTGCTTGTGATTTTGTGTCTATGTATCCCTCCCATTCTCAGAAGGGAAAAAATATTTATTTTATTCTTTCAGCCCAGGATAACTTAAGCAGCACCTTTGTAAGAAGCATCAGTCTTCTTACAGTTGCTATGGCTACAGAAAGAAGTCCAATTAAAGTTCCATGTGAAAATGAATCTCTCATGAATTTACTGAGAGGGGTCTTTCCTGTGAAGGGGGAGGGGGGGGGGGACTGCACACATTATCTAAGCTTTTAAGGGGACAGGTTAAGTTAGGCAGATGCAAAAGTGGCATCTGGCACTAAAGGAAAAATCTGCAGATTTTGAATCTCCAGATCTTGGCAGCTCTGCTTATATACACTAATAATTATTAACTACAACCACAGACTTTTTAAAAATTTTTTCTTTGCAGCCACAGCTGATGTTTATAGAAATAAAGGTAATGAGGCCTTCAAGAAAGGAGATTTCATCAATGCTATTCATTTTTACACCAAAGGAATTAAAATGAACTGCACTGAGAAAGAACTGAAGGCCAAACTGTACAACAACAGGGCTATTTCACATTTTAAACTTGGTAAGATGATGAGAGCTTTAATATGCATTTTTTTCTCTTTTGAAGCTATTGGTCTGTTAATAGTAGTTTTCTGAAAAAGGTGATAATTTTGAATGAAGGCCTTGTCTTGGCCTCTTAATCATACAAAGAAGTAACCTCTTACCCCAGATATCAATGAGCATCACAAGTTTTTCCTAAAATTGTTGTAATGGTGGTTGGTTAAAATGCTACATGTATGGCTAATCAGAGATATTTATTTCAATAACAGGAAATCACCAGTATATTCACTAAGGGATGCAGAAGCAGCCATTGAATTAACTCCTGACCAACTTTCCTTGAGGCAATTATGAGAGGTTAGATATGATAGCTGTGCTATAATAATAATAATAATAATAATAATAATAATAATAATAATAATAATAATAAAAGAACTCAACACTCTAAGGTCAAATGAATTTCAATCTTCTCTCAATTGACTTTAATTAAGAAGTTGAGACCAACTTGATGTACATTTGAATCCAGCTCTTGACTGCTACGCCATTACTTTCCATTAATTATGATGAGAATATTATTTTGAACTGGATGAATTAAGAGCTCAAAGCGGAATGCAAAGCAAAATTTCAGCATGAGTATTTTAGTTCCCTAAGCTTGATGAGCAAGGTCAAGTGGTGTCAGATATGGTTAGTCACTATCTAGCTGTTTTAAAAAGAAGGATCAGGACTTACCTTCACTCCAATCTGTAAGAAAACTTTCCTCATTCATCAGGTATATCAGGAAGTCACTGGGCTTATGGAGTAGAGCCACCTTACTTACAACAGTATTTAAAAAATAATAAGTGCTGTGAATGTGCAACTTTGCCAATACAGTGTTTATTTAAGTAAAAACTCTTGCATTTTTGTCTTAAAGCTAAAAGGATTTGACAAACTAGTGAATGAAACAGCTCTGTGATCACTGCATAAGGATCAAGGGTGGTAAATCTTGTCTTTATCTTGGAGACAAACAAAATAAAACACAATGGATATCAGAGGCTAATGACACCAAAACGCCTTATTTTGCAGATCTTCTTCTTAAACTTTGTCCACCATTTTGGATTTCCCTGGTGCATATTTGATTTGAAAACACTGCTGGTTTTATTCGACTGTGACTGCAGAAGGTGTTTCATGTGTTCTTGTGTGCGACATACAGGGAATAACACGGGAAATACTTGGGGTCAGTGGGAACTAATTCCACCAATAGTTTTATACCAGAAGCATGGTTCATGGTTGCTGCAAGTTCTGGGAAAAGTCAGGGATATAAAAATTTCCTCAATGTCAGAGAATATACATCTTTGAAAGAAGTCTGGCAAAATTTGAAGTAATTATCTTGCATTTTAATTGGACCCTTCATGATTATGTTATGTTTACAAAAATTGAGAGATATATAATTATGCCCAACTTCTTATGAAAGTTCTTATCCATAACTCTGGCTGTAAGCACGTTTAACAGTCTGCTTTGGTGATAATTACCTGTTTTTTTTACAAATAATAAGTAAATATATATATTTCAGTTTACAAAAATGAAAAAAATATGCCCAGCTTGTTACAATGATTAGCTATGTAACAGTCTGCATGATTCACAGTCATTGGTTGCTGTCATATTCAGTACTAAATAAAATATGAATACTACAGAGAGAGCTGTTGTTATGCTTCTCTTCATAAGGAGATCCTCAAGGATCTCTGCAAAGAAAAAGCATGCAATGTTCTTTGCGGCCAGTTTTCGATGTAACACTAGGAGACACAACTGATCTTAATGGTGGTAACATTATGCACTCCTCCATGTTAAAAGGACTAAAACTTAGTCATGACTTATTCTCTTGAAGATACTATTAAATTTGAAAACCCTAAGAAAGCCCCTACAATTTGAAAATCCTCAAAGATCCCCTACCATGTATCTTCAGTGCTCTTGCTTTCAGTGCTTCCTAATGATCACAACAGAGACACAGCTGGAAGAAATTGGGTAAAACTGATGTGATCTTGTTACTGTAGGCCAAACAAGGACTCTGAGAAACCTCTAATCTCTAAAGTACTTCATATGTCAATCACTGTGCAACAGCTTGACAACTGATCTGCCATGGGCGGCATGCAACATTGGTATGCAGAATGAAAAGACAATAAGAAACCCCCATCCCTAACATGGTGTATTGAAGTATAGAAAAATATGAAACAATTTCCCCCCTAACCCCAACATGGTATCTGTAGAAACTAGCATGCTTTAGGTATTCCAGACACGATTCTATGTATAATACAGTATTGTGTCCGGAATACCTAAAACAAAACAAAAGGGAAATCAACTGAAAAACACTCATAATTTAACACATTAAATGCTAATAATATAACAATATTAAGCTTTTCAAGGATTTTTGAATCTAAAAATAGTTTTCACTTCTTCTTCACTTTAACTTTCAATTACACTTGTCATAATTTGTACCCACTAATTAAATGTCATGGAATGTAATGCAATCCAGTACATCACAACATCAAAGTTATTACCTTCATTGCTATGCCATTCCAATATTTGAAAATGCTAAACAAATGCATTCATATTCTTTTCTAGCACATACAGTGTACTTCATACAGCTTTTAATGAAGTACTTACTGTGGAACAAAACAAGTTCACCAACATCATTTACCATAGAAATCTTTCACTTCACATTGTTCCTAGAAAAAGATGAACACTGTCAGCAAATGACATGCACTATGGTAAAACTTAATAACTTCCCATTTTTGACAGATGTTTTTCAATGAAAATTTCTTTTTAATTGATCTTGCTGTTACTTGAAAACACAAACTTCAATTGTCTAATACCAAAAATATTTTCACATTCATAAAATCTTAGCATACACTCTATGGAAATTTGAGCCTGTCAGCCATTCACATGCATAACATGAATTTATTACAACGTGTTCAATCTCATTTAACCCTTCTATAGGCAGTTCACAGTCATGCTTTATCTTTCAGTTCTAATAGACTCCTTCTTTTGCTCTTACAAAGGACTACAACACTTGAAGCATCAGCTTTAGAATTTCTTTACAGTGGCTAATTTACATTATCAACTCAGTTAATGAAGCCAGATAATCTCTTTCTAACAGTCTCTGCTTTTTTTCTGATTGCATTTTTTAACGTAAATGGCTTTAAGTTTTATGAACTCAAACCAAGTGCAGTAAAATCACTTTTATTAAATCCACTTGGTTTTAATTTTACAAGAATATCACAAATCAAGCAGTATCATGTTTTTCAGTTATAAAATAAACTATTTGTTTCTAACTTACACTCACAGGATGAATGGTTTGGCAAGCTTGAAAACAGCTTTCAGGGTGAATTTATAGCCTTTAAAATGATGCAAAAGTTCATTCCTTCAAAGAACCTGCAGAAAAAAAGCAATGAATGAGACATTACAGTTTAATTTATATCATTTATTTACTAAAATCTGTCAGATAAAACCATATTCTGTACTCTACCAGCAAAATAATTGTAATACATCCACTGATATAAAAAGTTATCAGCATCATAAGGTGCTTTTTACCAGTACCAGTATAATTCACCAAATTTATCATTTGACTTCTGACTTTGTTGATTTGGTTGCTAATATTTGAAGTAGGTATATGTTTCCATCAGTACAAACTTCTCTTACCTATTTTTTAATAGTTTGTAAAATTTCTTTGCCAATTGAATTGAACAAAGGTTTGCATCATCATCCTCTCCATGGATAACTGTGAATTTGTCAGTGACAAGATTTTTCTTGATGTACTCTTCTACATTTCTGAACTTCAGAGATCAAACAAAGATGATTAACCCACATTGTAGTTATAATGAATAAAGCTTCACACCATCTTCCTTTCCATGGATAAAAACTGTGAAGTTGTTTGTGACAAGATTTTTCCTGATGTACTCACTGACTTCTACATTTCTGAATTCAGAGATCAAACAAACATGATTAACCCACATTAAAGTTAATGATTGGTAATACAAGATGTAAAATCTTGGATTACAGGAAACAAAAAATTTACCTCAATTTCAATGCATTTTGCACAACAGGGAATAACTGAATTGTATATAACCATCATGTGAGTATCTACACTGCACTTTCAACTGGATCCCAAATATCCTGAGCAGAGTGTGCATCTAATTACCACCTTAAAAAGTTTTCTTTTGGATAACATAGTCATTAACATAGTTTAGTCATTAACATAGAATTAAAGAAATACTCTCACTTATGAGCTGAGATTGTCAGTAAGCATCTTTGATTTTGACCTTTGGAACAGTTTTGGGTACCTTCCCAGCATTCAAAAGGAAAACATCATTGCCTGATTCATCACAGTGATCTGAATAAAGAAATATTTAAAGCTCCTTTCAGAAAAGATTATCATACCACTTTTAGGACTTATTTTCTTAAACTACATGAACCAAAAACTCAAGCCCTTGTGATTTCAATCACTCACCACTTTTTGTGAAGAAAGAGCTGACATCATATTCATCACAAGTACGATGAGATTGTTCCAAAGCAATGCAATCTTCTTCAACCTGTGAGTCTGCATGGTTTGAAAAATTTTGGTTAAATAGTGACATTTCCTTTCAATTCAATTGTAGTTAATTCATCAGAGGAAATCCTTAAATTAATTATACATTAATTATCTCAACCCAGACAATCACACAACTTTTCACACACCTTGCAGTTGAAATCTCATGCAATACAAAATGGTTAACAAAGTCATAAAAAAAACCTTTCACCTTTAGGTATTTTATCGATCATTCATAGGAAAATACTCATCAGATACAAGAGCTTACTGTCAGTAAAAACCCTGAGCATGATAGAATGTTATTGCCTTAAATTTTTCACCACAAAGATAGTTACATTACAATTCACCTTTCTTAATGTCCTCCGTTGTTGGCCTAACCGCTGAAGACTTTCATGGCCATTTGAACCAGCAGGATTTCTAATCAAGAATAAAATCATTCAATCATTAATCAATGATCAGCCCATGTTGATTGAACTTCTTAACCACTGTCTTGATTTTTAAACAGGTTAACTGTCTACATTATTTATTCTATAGTATACATGTTCCTTCTCATAAGCCAGGGTGACTGTTGATGCGCCCACTGATAATTTAGGTTATCCCAAGGAAAATCAACAGCCACCACTTGCCAAAGGACACTCCTACATCATATTTTGGCAAATGAAGGTGAAAATAAAATCAATAAAATTTAATGAATGAATATACAAAATTAAATAAATCAAAGGTTCTTTTATACCAAATGCAAGTTCCATTGAACTTTCTACTTCCAATCCTCTTTCCACTGGGCTCAGGTGATGATGGGGACTGGGGAGGTTGATCAACAGGGGGATCAGAGCTTTCCTGAACAAGCACTATGAAGAGGTCAAATGGTTGACAATTTGATTGTTTATTTTTATGTTTAGTAGATATGTAAACATTCACAGAAAATTCCTTGATTACTCCCCATGATAAAACATCAACTATATTTCACTCATGGCAAGGTTTATACTGAGTCTACAAATGCATAATAATTGCAGATGACTCCTTCTTCAGCTTAACCCTATTTAACATGTTACTTCTTCCTGTAATATTCACACATTATCCAGCAAATAGGTAGTGAGAATTTTCAAACTTATCTGGTAGACCTTTTAACCTTGATTTAATCAAATACTTATAACTAATTTACAAGGAAATGTGTAGCAGCTAGTGGGGAGAATTAACATTCAGATATTTAAGTTAAAGAGTTAAAACATTGGCAAATTTTACAAAAGTTAACTACCCTAAGTAATGACAGATTGAGAGAATATTCCAACTGGAATATACAAAAGGCTAACCGCAGCCCTTCTTGGCTTAACTACTTGCAATAGAACATACTCATTAAACAGCAGTAATTACCTTCTTGACTCGGGGCATCAATTGCTGAGGAGGCCTCATATTTCTTAGCTGGAATTGGAGTCCCTCCTCCAGGCTCAAAGACGGCATTAAGACAAAAAGTTAACTATCCTAAGTAAGTACAGATTGGGATAATAGTCCACCTGGGTTACAAAAGGCTAATGATAACCATGGCTGAACTTATTGCAATAAAGCATACTCATGAAACAGCAGTAACTACCTTCTTGACTGGGGGCATGGACTGGAGTTCCTCCCACAGGCTCACAGACTGCAGTAAGACTCTCACTTGGTGTCACCACTATAGGATGATGTCAAGATTCCAAACACATGTAAAGATGATGCACTTCTATTACCAAAATCTCTCTCTGACTGTTTAGTGCTGCTTGATACCCTTACAACAATGTCCCGCAAGCTTGGTGTGGCAGCTTCTATTATTCTCTCAATGTAAAGGTCAAGCTGCTGTTCATTGATTTTCATTGGCTCCTAGAACTGGGAGTAGCATTCTGAAAGTAATAAATCATTATAATTATTTCTTAGCTGAAAAACTGTGAAAGAGAAAAGTATAAATAAACTTCCCATTTGCTGTTATAATATTAATGACAATAATTAATTTAAAAAGGCATTTAAATGTTATGATTGATTCTTTTGATACAAATTGTTCCTGAAGCACAGCATGCACTACACTTATTTAAAACCCCATTTGAAGCCAGCCAGTGCATACATAATTCTATATTTAAACTCAAGAACCTGGTACTTAATAGGCTCCTAGCTTTAAGGCAGCTAATGCATCAAGTTTAAAATGAAAAAATAAAATGTTTTTTTACATATTAAAAAGGAGACACTTAAGAAAAGTAAAGTAGAAACTATTACCCTGGTCTTGATTCCTTTAGAGGTTCAAGTAGTTCATGTATGATATACACACTAAATCTTAATTCTTTAGAGCTCTGTCACAATATACAGACTGGTAAACCAAAAGCTGGTAAATCCTTGTAGGTTTATGCATAGTGGACTCAAAGAGATTTGATAAACAGGGTTTGAAAATAAGGAGAATCTAGTGCACTTTAGATAAGGTTAGTTAGTTTCCAATTGAGAAATGTTGAAAATAAGCTAAAAAAAAGTACGCCATTGCAATATGTAAAATAATCCAACTGCGCTCTTTCTTAAAGAAGGTAGATTATTGCATTTCTACGACAATGAGACCCTCACCATATAAATTGAGTGTCAAGCAATCGACAAAGAAACGGCCGCCATACCAAAGTGAGCGTTTGAAGAAAACGAACGAGCAGCTGAAGATTGCTTTCCTCTCTATCGATCAGTTAGAGTTCTCCTTCACGTTTTGGGACAGAGATACTCTGTCTAATACTCTCCAATACCCTCCTTTCATAACGTCTGCCAGACGATCGATTGTGACTCGTTGGAAAAGTTCGCCATGTTTTAGCCTTAAATTTATTCCCTGCCCCTCCCCCGTAAAGACAGTGTTTTGACTCGTAACCAGGGTCCACGCCGTGCCCTGACACTTTTCTTTAGAAGCTTCCTTTTAAGCAAAGGGTGGCGATCATCCCCAAAAATTGAAAAAGTTATTTCAAACAAAAAGAATGACGAATGAGATTAGCAATTCAGTATAAACGAAACCTCGCTAGTAAATAAGTCTTTCTCCAACCTGTAAGCGCGCGCAAAAATACCGTACTATTGCACGAATAGGAAAAAACCCTTCTTTCTCAGAAATTCCATCTTGTAATGTTTTCCATAGTACTATGTTGGCTTGAAAATATTCCGTTTTGTGCCTACCCCCTGTCTGTACTTACCTGGTATCCTTTCCACCTGCTACAGTCTGAGATTTTTGATAACTCTGCTCATGAATGAAGCGCGCGCATTTATTCTCATTTCACGCGTAAAAAGATCCACTTGCCGCGACAAAATCTTTCCGAATTCTCATTTTTCTTAACCACACAACACGCTGAAAGATCGAAACCGGGTCATATTTGTTCTTATCATGCGCCAATTTGGACTACCAACAAGTCCAACCGGAGCGGTGCTATTCCGTCGATCTCTAAGACTGTTGTTGTTGTTGTTGTTGTTGTTGTTGTTGTTGTTGTCATGGTTGTGTTGTTGCTTTATTCGTAAAAAAGACGAATTTTGATTACCTAAGACCTGCGCATCTTGATGTAGCAGACTTTTATGTTTATTAGTTGGCGGTAGCTGTCAATAAGTAAGAATAGGATTTCCTTGCGCTTGCTTTGGTACCCGCTCTTTGGAGTTGTTTTAGTCCCCAACTCCGTTTTTTTTTTCCATGCTCCGCGTTCATTTCAAACGGTGTCACTTTTCACTTGAGTTTAGGGGATATGAGTCCAATCGAAAAACAGAAGTGAAAACATTTGCGTGATGCAAAAGTAACATTACAAACACCGTGCAAAATGTTGATTGCATATATTATATATTATTATATATTATTTCTGCTTTAATATTACTTTTAACTAACCCTTTCCCATTATTCAGTTATTTATTATTGGCGTCAAATTTCCTTGCCTTTACATCTGGTCCTTCACCTCCTACGCTTTGTCTCTTCGCTTTCTCCTCCAACACATATGAATTCTTCTTTTTCTTCTCATTTAAATACAACTCAACTTTATGTATGCAGGAGCCCAAAGACCTGCCACACGACAAATTCCGAATTTGTTTGACGAAATATGGCTAGGAGCTCATTTTAACCACCCCAAGAACAAAAATATTAACAATGAATAGTACTCACGTTGAGAGAATTCATCTCTTTGATTGCTTCCATCACTTTCTTGAATTTTCCTCCGAATGACTTATGAAGCGCCTAACTCCAACCAACGGAAAGTTATAACGATGGGTTGTAATTTTCGCGCGCTATGATGACGTAACAGACGAGATAATAAACCAATCAACAGATTAGCAAGTAAACGTAACTTCTGCCTCGTTTTCAGGCGCCTTTGTACTGGTTTAGGAAAGGGCGGGAAACTGACCGAGTGCGCAGACTGCTGTATAGGAGGATATTGATAGATTTTAATAAACGTTCGCGCATTGACTGTCTAAGGCTCTAATTTACTCAAAGCGATTGCAAAAGCAATGGACAAGTCCAAGAAACGAGACTGAGAAAGATCGGGAGCTTATCAGGAAAAATAAAGAGGTGCGTCGTTCCGCAGGTAAACCAGTGTAGGGCTGTCGGTTGCTTTGGCCACCACGATGCGCTGACCACTGACCGCGAAAATTTAGCACAGACTTCTCGCAAATAAAGGATTCTGGATAGAAGAATGAGAAAGATCGGGAGCTTTTCAGGAAATGACGAAAAGAGCGCGTCCTCCCGCAAGAAAACCAAGTCTACAAGCAAGCTGTTTTGTCGTTAATGCTTAGTTTGCTTGCGAACATGTGAAAATGAGAGAAACATATGAGTGCTAAGTTCTGCTTCGTACGAAGCAAGAAACCACTTGGCTATAAATTAACAAACATTCCTTGCCAAAAGTAAGATTCGCTCATCCGACCTGTAAATGATACAGAAGAGATGATATTAAACCTTTACCACAAGCAGTGACCATTAAGTAGTTTTTTTTGCCACAAGTTCATTACACAGTTTGACGGACAGGCAATGAGAAGACAAAAAAGTGACTAAACTGGATTGAAACTTTGATATCACAACAAATTTTCGATATCAAAAAAAGCATGGAAATATATATAGGGCACCAGTTATGAACATCCATTTTCGGATGCTGGGAGTGAGTATGTAGCTTCCAAAAACTGGAGAGGTTTCTAGAAATTATTTCACTTTGGATATCATGGTTCATTTTACCTGATCCGTAAAACATTCTACGAGGTGGCTCTTCTTGTCCATTGACACAAATTGTCAATAAACAATGCAGGTAAAAGTTTAAAAATCTCAATTGGCCGGAGGCAAACCAATCGGCTATAGACAAAGTGCAGCCAAGGGGTTGAGCTCGAGCAATCGAGAACAAATCCAGTAAGTTGCAGGGTAAAGGACTTTAACCTGAAACCTAGTGCCTTAATCACTCGGGCACACAAGATCAACGCTGTTATTTCTGTGAGTCGTGACGTTTGTTTTCCTAAACCAATTCACACGCAACACACGCCCTCTAGTATCAGGCTTCGGGAGTTTTGTGTTTCATTTCACGTCATTTTTCACCTCAAGTGAACGCCAGATATTTTGTATTGTACTGTTTTGTTTTTCTTCCCACCTACCCCTCCACCCTCGGTGATTTTACGTGATGTCATAGGGTGGCAGAGAGGTTTACTCAGCACATCATTGGCTGTTGTTTACTTTTCTTTCGTATTCTTAATAAATTTCTCTCTGTGCCGAAAAGCGAATTGTGTTTTATTTGTGTCAGGGAGCGTAGTTGGAGAATAAGTTTCTTTTGGGAAAGGCTTTTCAATGACGATAGGAACATCCTTTGCAACCGCATTACTTTGGAAGGAAAGAAAAATCACAGGGTGCCCACTCTCGTCCTTGGAGCTACTCGTTTTCTCTCATTTCGAACATGAGGAATGCTTATGGATTGTGTTTCTAAGACTTACCTCATAAGTTAAGCGTTTAGGGTAACAAGGAAACATGTAAAAATACTGAGAAAAAAATGTCAAAATAATAAAAGTAATTACATAAAGTATAGCTAATCAGATCGTATGAAAGTGAGAGAATAATGTCATGTGAAGCCCTCGAGAAGTATTTTAGTAATGTTAAGGTATTTGTATACGAAGTATGCTGATTTTTTGGGAGATTTCTACTCCAAGCGCAGTCTATTAAGTATATTTTGGTTGCTTTTGGCCTCGCACCAGCGGCAGGCATTGTAATCAACAAAGTATGAATAAATGGGTTTAGTTTTTAAGGAAATTATGGTGCTGCGTCGTGTGGGGTACAACGAGATAATTTGATTTTATAATCTTACTGCACAAGGTAGAGTTCAAATAACGCGAATATATGTATATACCACGTGTGTACAGTTGATAATTTGGAATGCAAAAAAACCTGTTTAACCGGCCGGCTGCGCACGCTGCGCTTCTCTATCCACTTTGCTTTTCCCGCCTTATGAGAAATGAGCAGAAAGTCTTGGAGGAAAAAAAAAGCAATCGGATCATAAATAACCTTGTAGACTATTCATTGGTGTGCAGTATTGCCTAGTATTTTCATTCCTTGCTTGAATTTGACGAGCCTTTGGGGGAAGTCAAAATACGGCACAGCTCATAAAAATACTCAAGTATGTCTCGCCAGATAAAGAAAATCCGAAAAAATCCGAAAAAATCACCATAAATCTTATTTCGCAAGATGATCATCTCACAGCTGGAGCTTGGGCTGCCTGTGGTGTGAGTTCAGATAAATTAAGTTTTGTTTTTCTCTCAAGGTGAAGTAACGCGATATTTTTTTGTCCGTTTGAAAGTCATGCTCTTTTTCTGTTATAAAAATGAAAACATTTGGTACACAAAGTGTCCCATCTCGACCCACCCATGCTACGCATACCTATGTTCTTATAAATGATGTCATGGATCAGGGGGCTGTGAACAAAGAATGACATTAACCAGAAATCTTGGGCTCATTTGATAAGTGTAGTGGTTTGTGGCCTTCACGAGAGCCTCGTTGATTAAGGTCGAGATTTATCGGAACATGAAAGTTTCGCATTTCGTTTTTTGTATTATTTTTAAGTCAAACGTGTTTTTACAGCTCCTTTACGCGCAACGAACACGCCTAACAACTCACGTTCCATCGCGTACCATAAAAACAACGTCCAAAGTCCATTAGAACTTACCCAATCATTGCACTACGTGAACATTAGGCAATTTTTCACGTGCTTAAATTGTATTCCATCAACCAAATTCGCATCTACGCGCGCCTGTGTATTATCACTATTTATGACTCATTTCCTCGGGAAAGTTCACAATGTGTAGTTAACTTTTGGTTTTCCAGAGAATGTCACGCAATGGTAAAAACATCATTATGGTCGTGAAACAAAAAGTGAGTCATTTGCATCCTGTCGCGGTCAAGTGAAAATCTTTGGTGGAAGCGAGAAATTTTTAACGCTCGCCATCCCAGCTCGAAGCGTTGTTTCTAAGTTATCGCGAGCTAAATTTCAGAGGAATAAAATCAAATACTCCTACGTCGTGAGACCACCAGGAAAAGAGTACCCTCTCGACACCGTTCGTGTTATAAGTCACCTTCTGAAGAACTCATCAAAATATCTTCGGTCTTGGAAAATTTTACAAATTTAACAGGTTCTTAAGGACGAATTCAACGCTCCGTCGTTGACGAAACGTAGTTTTAAGGTAAGCTCTGAAATAATTACTTAAACAAAGTGGTTTGTCTCACCCACTCGCAGTGTTCCATCAGTAACATTACCAGTTTGTATTAACAAAGAAAAACTTTTTACATTCTAAAATATAGACAATCCGGTATGAGGCGTGGGGTCTTGGTTTCATATAGGTCTTTCAGCAAAGTGAGCCGGCAACAATACACTAGGCCATATGATCACAGACAAGAGCAAGTTATGAAAATGGTATCGATCTAAAGTGCTGCGTCCCTGCTTACCTTATTTTTTCAGAAGAATATTTAGTGAGAACCGAGAAAACTGAGTGTTACGAGATAATCTGAAGCATTTTTCCTTTTATTTTGATTATAAACTACCGTCTACGTGTTACATCCTGTTCTCATTATAGAAATTGAAAGAGGAAGCAGTTGTCATACACATGTTTTCGAGGGGAGATGTAAAACGCTCCTTGCTTATTAAATGATACAAAACTTGGCAGGTATTTTCAGTCAGAGAAAAATTTAAGGCGACAAATCAAAATACGAATTCTTTAATACATCATTTGACTTCTTTTGAAAAAATGTAGGTTATATTAAGAACACAGCGTAACGGAATATTTATCAGCACATCTGTAGAAAATGAAAATAAGCTGAAATCCAGCTCGCACATAGATTTTGGAATAAATGATCGTCTTCTTTACTCTTTTTTTTTTCCTACATAAATTAACGAATGAACCACATGCTCCTCGTTCTTGTTCGTCATAACTCGAGTCGGAAATTTAACGAAAGTTTGAAATGAGACTGCCTAATTGCATTTGCTTGTTCCACATAAAATCATGAGTGCTACCCGTTGGTGATTTTCATCGAACGCATTCTGGGCGGCGAATATTTATCTATTAGTTTAGTTTGAAATGACAGAAGGAAATAGTCCAATATGAAAGAAAGAAAACATTATCATTAATCCGAGTCATTTCGTTAGTGCCATACCTCCTGACTGTGGTGTACTCAAAGTTCTACGGAGCATGCCCGAAGGTGTGGTTGCAAAAACAACATGGCACGATCGGTAAGAAGTAAAGATCGTGTAGATTATTATTGCTTATAAAAGCAAAAGGAAATATAAACCCGGAGTAAAATCGTATCAAGTGGAAAGACTTGTCAACAAGCGGAAATGGTCGAACAAAGTTTCGCATATTATCATGATAATTTTGCAGAGTTGCAAACAGTGGACTGCTGATTTTATGACCAGCATATTTACGTGTACACTACAATAAATCACATTTGAATTACCTACCTTAAAATGCCTGGCTAAATTTCCAAAGTGGCTACCAAAACAACGAAAAAAAGTGCTGATGCGGCGAGCGCTTTCTATATTTTTTGACTTGTTGTGATACATCCCTGGTGAAAATCTTTGAAGGATCTTTAACGATCCTACAAGATCGTTATGAGAACCTTTAAAGATCTTCAAAATTCTTGTTAAGATCTTCAGGGATATTTTATTCTCTTGCCAGGATCTTCAAGGATCTTCAAAGTTCTTGTCAAGATCTTCAAGGATCTTTCATTTTCTTGTCAAGATCTTTAAGGATCTTTCATTTTCCTGTCAAGATCCTCGAAGATCTTGTCCGGATCTCCAAAAATCTTGACAAGAACTTCAAAGATCCTTTAAAGATCTTTGAAAATTCTTTGAGGATCTTCCAAATTCTTGTTAAGATCTTTGAAGATCTCTCATTTTCTTGCCAAGATCTTCAAGGATCTTTTACTTTCCTGCCAAGATCCTGAACGATCTTGGCAGGAAAATTTTGAAGATCCGTAAAGATCTTGGAAAGGAAATAAAAGACCCCTAAAAATCTTGACAAGAGAATGAAAGATCCTTGAAGAATTTGAACATTTATTTTTCATCCCACTCATTTCTTTATAATTGTTTCTTGGCCAAGGCCTGGAGAGGTCAAGTATGATCGATATTTCGGATTTCTTGTAATGGAAAACTACCTTGTCGTCTTAAATAGAGTGAATTAATACTTAGAAACGAAATTACCATCAGAAAAGCAAGTAGAAGGAGGCAGTAGAGGAGGGGGTGTGCAGACTTTTGGGATATGTATATTTCTTTTTCTTTTGCTTCCTCATTTAAAAATCAAATAAGAGAATTTTACTTTAGTTTGGTAAAAGTTGTGGTATGGTGGCCTTATGATTAGTGAGGTGGAGTCAGGGTCAAGAGAGCTGCATTTGTAACCTGGCCAGGTCATGTGTTTTGTTTTTGTGCAAAATAATTTACTCTTACAGTACCCCTCTCCACCCAGGAGTGGAGAGGGGTACTGCTCAGGGCCTGGATGGGCCACTCTTAAATACAGACTTTACCTAACTACCTACTACAGCCTCTGGTTTAATAATTTCAATTGCTGCTGTTACAAATTATATGAACTTGCAACATACAGATGATTATTTTTTCCCAATTTATCTCAGACAATAAGGGCTGTCTTTTGTAAATCTTGAAATTTTCAAAAATCCAGACAGAGGCGGAGTTTTCTATACTAATGTCTGAGCACTTTGTGAGCTTCCCGCCATCTGGTGGGACGCGTAATTAAGCACACAGTGGTAAAGGGCCCTTCCGCAGTATTACTTGAAATTCGCTCGGTAATGTAAAAAAAACAACAACAACAACGCGAGTAATACATATATATCCAAATTCTTTCATCACAGGAAAAGTTGTAGGACCTGATAGCATCTTAGGGACGGACCATTAGATTTTTGATGCGGGAGGGGGGGGGGTATTGGGGTGTTGGGCAATAACCCCGAAAAAATCGAGCACGGGCTTAATGGAAGAAAACAAATCGTGTAATTGGCAAAAGACCCCCCCCCTCCACCCCGCATCAAAAATCTAATCGTCCGTCAATAAGGTACTTTTTACATTATTCCAAAATGGGTTTCATTCCGGAATGAAATGAATTTCATGCCACGTTGACATACAAGATAATTTAGATTATAAAAACAGGTAGTAAAAACAAGTATTTACGTCCCTTTTCTATGCTTCCCTCGCTCCTACAGAGGATTCATACAGATATGAGTGTCGTACCGCGTTTACATTATACAGGTACAAAAGGTCGTCCAGAATAAGTGTTTCTTTCTGGAATGAAAACCTCAGTTAACTCATTCAGAAATGACTCGTTTCGAATAATTTTACTCTGGTATCATGTGGCAACCGAGATAAACTCATTCTTGAACAAAACTCATTCCGATATTATGTAAAAGGCCCCTAGGAGTTTTTATTCCCAGAGCATCATGCTGTGCTTTCCTGCCAGAACACTATAAATTTCAATAGCGTTGAAGCAACAACCCACTTTGAACTGTTACGCTGCCACTGAAACAACGATTAGTGACCACAAAAGTAACATATTGTAATATTGTCAATTCAACATAAACAAAAATCTTCCTACAGGGTAAATATTCATTTGTGTTGGTATCAATTATTGCGTGACTAGCTTCTGATATAGCTGGGATAGGGGAAAACACAACGTAAAACCTGGGCTCCGGGCAAGAAGTAATACTCAAGCATAATATAATGACCGAAACAGCTTATTGGTCTTATAAAATCATAAATAAACTAGGTAAGAGTGTTAAGTTGGATTTTTTTTCAAATTGTAGCGATTTATGCCTCCATATGCCAATAAAAGGTGGCGACAAATAGACACACCATGAATATTTCATAGTCGCTAGCAAAAAAATTTTGCCGGACTTTGAGTTCGTCTCACGATAGAACAACACAATTACACAAGAAAATTTTTACAGTAACCTTATAACCATCCTTTTTTATTTTAAAAGCTAGAAGCTCAGTAGATTCTGTCGTATTGGTCATTGTTAAAACTGTCTTTGTTTTGATGCTACTTTTCGACATAGAAAAAGTATGTCGGACAAAAATATTCACCAAAGAATAAATATTTTTGTGCCAGCCTCAATAATGTCAGGGGCTTAAGTTAAGATGATAAAACAAAGGATTATGCCGACAGAAATACCGGAGGTCGAGTAAATTCGTTACATGAGGTCACACAACTCGGGTAATATTCAGAGTGAAAATTTGCATATTTGAGCGGTCGAACGAAAAAAAGTCATTTCTCAAAAACTAAAATATATTTTCACAAAAAACCTACACCACAATTATCGGGACATATTGGGCTACAAAATATGAAAGTAGGAGAGAAAACGAATTTGGGCGACTTGCCGCTGTTTGTCTGATGCATGTTGACATTAGCTCTTAACTGGCTTCTGGTTTTGTGTCTATGTATCCCTCCCATTCTCAGAAGGGAAATAATATTTATTTTGCTACTGGGTAATATGTTGAACTGATGTTTACAACCATTTTCAATCACCTTTTTTTCAGGCCAGGATGACCTAAAAGAACAACTTTTTAAGAAGCATCAGTCTTCTTACAGTTGCTATGGCTACAGGAAGAAGTTCAATTAAAGTTCCATGTGAAAATGAAGACTTACCTGACAAAGAAAATGCACCAGATTTTGACGAGGACACTTTACGAGGTGAGCTAGGTTCAACTTCGGCTTCAGTTATTGTTAGAGCAATTTCTATTCGATCAGTTTCAAGAATGCAAGCAGATGTGGAAAAGGATACATACACTGTATGACCACTTTAAAGGATATTTGGCCAGTCATGACTCTCTTCTATGATTACAATATGCTGTTCATTGAGAAGATCTATGACACAGAAACTTTTGCTATTTTCTTTTCTAACAGTTCAAAGCAATAACACAAAGTTATAATAAGTTAAGACTTTATTTGATCATCATATAACATCCATTGTAAGTTTGCATCATAGGTACCATCATCATCATCACCATCATCTTTCTATTTTAATGAAACATAATCACTTTGAAACCTTCAACATTCCCTCCTTTCTCCTCTAGCAACCCACAGGCATTTGATCTTCATCCAAGGCAAAGAGGGTGGGGGGGGGGAAGATGGGGCTTAACCCTGCCTGACTGGCGTTAGGGAATTTGAATAAAAACTGTCACATCTATTTTCCAGTAGAGTACAAGGGTTAATTATCATTGAATATGGAGGTGTTTAAGGTACATAGTGTACTTTCACTAACAAATGGCTCAGAAGAAATAAGGCTTCAAGGTCTAGGTTTTAAAGCTTGGTCAATTAGTTTTTAAAGCTTGATCAATTAGTTGAAAGTGAAATTGCTAATTATTTCGCCTTTTACATAAGATTGTGTGGGACAATTGAACATTTTATTAATTTTTCCCAGGGAATAGGAATTTTAGGAAACCTATCTCCAAAATCTCTCATCTCCAGGGGTTTGCCTCGAATTAAGAGATGCTTATAATTCTCATCATTATTCTTACCCATGTTGTCACCTACATTGTTAGCATCATCATAACTATTGCAAATCTGCAGATTTGAAATCTCCAGATCTTGGCAGCTCTGACTATACACGAATAATTATTAACTACGACCACAGACTTCGACACCCATTTTTTAATTTTTTTCGAATTATTTTATTTTTTCTTTGCAGCCACAGCTGATGTTTATAGGAATGAGGGTAATGAGGCCTTCAATAAAGGAGATTTCATCAATGCTATTCATTTTTACACCAAAGGAATTAAAATCAACTGCAATGACAAAGAACTGAAGGCCAAACTGCACAACAACAGGGCAATTGCACATTCTAAACTTGGTAAGATGATGAGAGCTTTAATATGCATTTTTTTTTCTATTTTGAAGCTATTGAGTTGTCAGTAGTAGTTTTCTGAAAAATGTGATAATTTTGAATGCATGCCCGGAAAATTTTACATCTTATCTTGGCCTCTCAAACATACAAAGAAGTAACTTTTTACCCCAGATATCAATGAGCATCACAAGTTTTTCCCAAAATTATAGTAATGGTAGTTGGTTTGCAACATGTATGGCTGATCAGAGATATTTATTTCAATAACAGGAAATCACCAGGATTCACTAAGGGATGCAGAAGCAGCCATTGAGTTAAATCCAACTTTCCTTAAGGCAATTGTGAGAGGTTAGATATGGTAGCTGTACTATAATAATAATAATAATAATAATAAAAAAATAACTCAACACTCTAAGGTTAAATGAGGTTAAATGGATTTCAATCTCGTCTCAATTGACTTTAATTAAGAGGTCGAGACCACCCTGATGTACGTGTGAATCTTGCTCTTGACTGCTACGCCATTACTTCCATTAATCATGATGAGAATATTATTTTGAACGGGATGAAGAACTCAATGCGGAATGCAAAGCAAAATTTCAGCATGAATATTTTAGTTCCTTAAGTTCAGTGAGTCACAGGTGTCAGATATGTTAAGAGCGTGTCCACGAGAGCACCGGGCAGTAGTGCTACATGCCATCTCACCGATTTCAATGAAGCTTTGCCAGTTTAAAGGGTCTACCCCAAAACTCAAAAAGACAAACTGGTTTCTGTTTTGGTTTTTTTTCCGGGGGGAGATAGACTACCCCCCCCCGGTTTTTCTTGGTTTTCACCAAGGAAATCGCTTCAAATAGGTAAAATGTATGAAGCTCTCACTGCGATGGTATTCAACTGATTACTTTGAGGATTTGCACACATATTTTTTACATCCTTTGTTAATGTCTGCTGCGAGTATCAGTCAGTTTGATTGATGGCTTGTCAATCAACAGAGGCAAATATACGACAGTGTTTTCAGACTTTTCGATTTATCCAAATATTTGACAACTTTGAGGTCAAATATCTCCCATTGCCAGAAAGCTACAACACTAATCTTAATTACCCTTTATAACCCATCATTTCATCTGTGAAAATCATCAAAAAACTATTTGGGTACTACCGTATTTTTGTCTTAACTACACCTGTCACGCAATTCTTGCTCTCGGCGGTCACTTGACAAAATAAAGCTTCATTTTTTAGCTCTTTATACAAGATGATTGATCAAGAAAGGTGAAAAATGTGAAACACTTTCGAGAAAAACTTTCGAGATACATGTAGACGAAAAATCAATGGGAAAATCGTAGCGTTTCTTTCTTCAGTCGTTTATTACTTTGAAGTTTATCATCATCACTGCTCATTTTAGGAGATTTTAAAGTCACATGCTGCGTGTTGGCTGATATTACTACATGTTCCAGTGTGCTACAACTTCGGCTTTCACAGACGAGAAATAGAGAGCTCGAGAGCAAATATCAATAGTTCTATCGGACTAACAACTGTGCTTCTATCCCGAAAATAAAATTCAAATAATGTTGACGTTGTCACTTACCGCCATCGAACATTTACATGCAGAACTCCGCTATGCTAACATCTGTTGTGTGACCCGAAGACTCTCCGTAGGAATTATTTAAGCGCGTTGTTCATGCTGTCTGCTGGTAACAATTTAAGAATAATCTACAGATCTCTATGATTATTTACCTGCTTCAGTCGTAAAATATCTGCATACTTTTTTCAAGCATTCTATTACTACATATAAATCTACATTTCTCTTGATCGAGTGTTGCCGGCGTTTACTTGCGTGACTTATAAAATTTTTAAATAAGAATTAGCCAGCAGTAATTTAACGAGTAGCCTTCCTGCAAATTTCCCTTGATGAAATCCCAAGACATAGCCAGTTGTTTTCGTGAGCAAAGACAATAAATATGAAAGAAAAGTGAGATGCAAATGTCTTTTTTTTTTTTTTTAGCTTAATAGTAGCTGTACCCTCTCCTGCAGTCTTCGTCTAAATTTTGCAAGGTCCCTCCTTATCTTCTGCCTTGTTCGATCAATTTCGAATTCTGAAGCTAGATCATCGGCATCGGCCTCTCCGTCCTCATTCATATTTACAGAGGGGGACCTCATCAATAAACCTCTTTTTGTTACGGCAGATAACCGGCTGAAGTATCAAGCGATTTGCTGCTGTAGCAACCGGTCAGTCCAAGACAACATTTCTGGATGGTGTCGTCTCTTAAACTCTCTCGATATTTGGGAAATCACATCAGAGGCGGTTGCCTTACTAGTTTCCTCCCTCGCCCAGCACACGTCTAGGAGATAATTCTCTGCTTTCTGAGAAAAGGTGGCTGTTTTTTGTGTTTTCCAAAGAGCCCATCCAAAGTCCACTTGGCTAGTTAGGGATTGTTCGACAGAATTTTTACCTAAGGTCCGACCTTGAACGTAGCCATCCCCAGAAATCTGTGCACGTTGCTGATAACTACCCGCTTCTACGATTAGTTTGCTGAAGGTTTCTAATGTGATGAGCCTAGTGAGACAATGAGGTGCTTCAGAAAAACCGTGCCAGTTGGTCTGCGCTATAAACTTGTCATAGTTCTTAAGTCAGAGGGAGGATCGCCCACCTCTATCTATGTGAGCGCCTCTACAGTACCTGTGTATCCCTAGCAATCATATGATATAAAGTTCATCTCAGTCACAAATCACCAGTTAGGAAAACTGATGTTCAGATAAGCGTTCTTCTTGCCCTTCTTCCTTATTCATTGCCGACTCTAAGATAGCAGCTACAGTACGCATTCTATTTAGGTTTACAGTCACCTTGCCGCCACCAGGAAGACTCGCCACCAGCTTTGATTTCTTCTGCCATCTGCAGATTCATCTCTCTCTCACGTTATGTCTCCGAATTTTATGAGGAGGATACTGGCATTTACGAACCCGAAAGTCTGAATCTCACACCAAGTTGTGCACGATATTTGAGGTACATCGTGAAATCGCGGCCTTTGTAATCTCCAAATAAGCCAATACGCGCAAGAATAAGCTCCATCTCAGACGAAACGCATGTTTGGGATACATCGACGTCTCTCAAATGTTTTTTTTTAAGCTGTATACCCACGAATTTAGAGGTATGAGCTGTTGCCGTCCCTGGCCAGCGCGAGAAAAATAACATTTGGTTCTACAGTTAGTTGCAAATGAACAAGACAACTGCACCATCTTGACTTTATCAATTCGAGTGTTAGATTGAATTGAGGACCTTTTAGACACTCGATTTTTTATATGGCATCACTATGAAGACGTAATACAACTGATACACCTACAGTACATAGGATTAACAATGTCTGTTGCGCTGTTGCGAGAAGGAGGAAAATATTACCGGAAGTGTAAACTCTTTTTAAAAAGAGTTTCAGAGACGTTTCAGAGATGTCTATCTTTGATCGGCTGTCACAAAAAAAGTCCCCCACTTAAATTTACTAGGAAAAATGAACTTACCAACTCCTTGTTGAAAAAATTGGAATTCATTTGACCGATGCGCCGGTTGTTTCAATTTTTCTTTTTCCTCGGGCTGCTATAAAACAGTTCATAAATTGACTAATAAATAAAATGTTTTGAAATACCGTTCGGAATTTGCCTTTTTTTTCTGCGTGCAAATCAAGGGTAGACAAAGTTTTTAAAACATTTGACTAGAATTTCATGGAGTTCACCTCGATAATTTTCGTCGGCCAGAGTCAAGACGCGCCAAGGTAAGGGACATCGCCCTCCAGTAAAATAATTTTCCAAAGAATAAACGTGGCAAGCGTGAGGAAACGCACATTTTTTTTATCATTGTGATCAAAGCCCAATGATGTACCTAAATTGGTACTTACGGTATCAAACCATCGATATGACAGGGTGAGCTTAATTTTTCTGTCGAGGTCGACGTGACTTCACATTAAAAGCCTTTTTGACGGAACAAACTAGTGAGCATCACTGCACGAACTGAGAAAGTAAAAACTTCTATTTATCTCTCACGCGTTTCGTCTGACAATAGTAGACTTCATCAAGGATTTTTTCAAGTAGGGTAAATAAGCTTGCTCATATACAAATATTAAATAAGTTGTCTCTTTGCTATTGAAGCCAATGGATAGAATTCGCCAGGTGCGCCTACGGTGTTATACATGCGTGACATTTTCCGGACGTTACATGTACGAGTACGTGATCCGTTTGAGGGTCACAGATTTAGGGTAAATATTTCACCCCTCAAAATCACGCAATGTCTCTAGTTTATAGAGGTCTTAGAACGTTTCATTATATGGAGTTGCCTTCTGCGGGTAGAAGGCTACAAGCGAATTTCTCAGGCGTAATTACCTTTGATTTCTTAATTGATGTTGTCGCAAACCTTGTTTTTGGGAGTCACGAGACAAAAAAAACTTATAAGGACCTAGTTTCCTGTTCTAATGGAAATAAATAGCAAATAAAAACACATTTTCTTGAGAAATAAAGTCACAAATGACGGGGGTTCTCTGAAACAGATAGTGATAGAAAAGGATTTCAGTTCTGGTCAATATTGACTTTTCACGGCCTACTTCCAAATCTGAGGGAACGCACTGAGGGAATGAAAAAACATAAATGTGTGATAATGCAAGCAAGAGAATGAAAATCCAAATGAAGAAAAAGGAGAAAACATAGGAACCCGTGTTGCAGCGTGCAGATATCTTTCGAGCCAGACCTACACACCTAAGCCCGACACCACCCAGAGAAACTCGAAAGAGTCCTGTATATGAACTAGCTCGCACGTGCACGCAGGAAAGGCCATGACAATCAGCGAAAATAATAGCAAATGCAGATGATATTTGCAGTCAAAAAACAGAAAGTAAGATAACAGAAGGATTAGGAACTTTGTAGAAGTGTCCTCTTGAAAAAAAAGAAGAACAATTTTTTTACTTCTCATGAAAGGTCACGCACTAACCCTACAAATACTATTCCTATACGTGGAATTTCTTGACGGTGGAAAGTGGAAAAAACATTTTCCAGTCTTATTTTCTGGAAACATGGCGTAGTTAATGAATTTATGGGGCTATTGATATTTCCTAACAAATAAGGGGGGCAGAGTTTCCCATCATGCGCGGTAAGGAAAAGCCGAACTTGTTACACTCGGGAACTTGTACGTCAACAAGCAGGCGACATGTGACTTTAAAATCTCCTCTCCTGTTACAGTTTCCTTATTGTAAACTGTGCGATAATGATAATAGACGATCAAAGTATAGGCTAATGAATGTTTTGTTCTGTACAAGAGCCCTATGTCCTGATTTTAGCAGATCTTCAAAGTAATAAACGACTGAAGAAAGAAACGCAACGATTTTCCCATTGATTTTTCGTCAACATGCATCCCTCTAAACGTGAAATTTTCCATTCCTACAAAAAATCTCGAAAGTTTTTCACATTTTTCACCTTTCTTGATCAATCATCTTGTATAAAGAGCTAAAAAAATGTAGGTTTATTTTGTCAAGTGACCGCCTAGAGTAAGAATTGCGTAACAGGTGTAGTTGAGAGAAACTTGTCACAGTCGCAAATTTTAAAAGGCATCCAAGACAAAAATACGGTAGTACCCAAATATTTTTTTGATGATTTTCAGAGATGAAATGATGGGTTACAAAGGGTAATTAAGATTAGTGTTGTAGCTTTCTGGCAACGGGAGATATTTGACCTCAAAGTTGTAAAATATTTGGATGAATCGAAAAGTCTAAAAACACAGTCGTATATTTGCCTCTGTTGATTGACAAGCCGTCAATCAAACTGACTGATGCTCGCGGCGGCCATTAATTAAGGATGTAAAAATATGTATGCAAATCCTCAAAGTAATCAGTTAAATATCATCGCAGTGAGAGCTTCATATATTTTACCTATTTGAAGCGATTTCATTAGTGAAAACCAAGAAAAACCGGGGGGTGGTCTATCTCCCCACGGAGAAAACCAAAACAGAAACCAGTCTGTTTTTTTTTAGTTTTGGGGTAGAGCCTTTAAACTGACAAAGTTTCATTGAAATCGGTGAGATGGCATGTAGCACGACCGCCCGATGCTCTCGCGGACACGCTCTTAAGTCACTATCTAGCTGTTTTAGAAAGAAGGATCAGGACTTACCTAACTCTTAGTGTTTTTGTGGGAGTTGTTGATCCCAATTTAAGTGTTCTTAGAAGTTTCAGTTGTCTGTAAAGCTAAATAAATCTAACTGAAACCTAGGGCCTGTTTATTCTTTTCCGTTTAGTTTCTTTGTTTTGTTTTGTCTTTTTTTTTTTCTTCTGGTCTGTAATGATCTCAATGGTTTCAGGTTCTTTTCTCAGAATTGAGCTACAGTAATAGTATGCTTCTTTGTGTTGTTGCCTACAGGAGCCGCTGCTTGCGTTGAATTGAAGAGATTTGAAGAAGCAATCAGTTGGTGTGATAAGGGACTAGTTGTATCCTTTGAAGGAATCGTTCATTTTTAACTGTGGGTATAAAAAAAAGTTTCCACAATTTGATGTTTCAAGGGAGAAAATACAAAGAAGGGTATTTATTATGATGGGAACTTGTCAGGTCATATACTTTAAGTGTGTGTGATTAAAAATGTTAAAATGGACTATTACATATCAATATGATCAGAAACATATTCTTTTTTGTGTTTTACACATTTTTTACCCTTAACATAAAAAAGATTGACAAAAACAATAGGATCTTGTTGTCATTAAGACTTCAGTCTGTCAGTGAAGTGGGAGAAAAGTCCATGGAGGAAAAAGATCCTATTAGTTATAACCATGGTAGTGCAAGTTCAGGTGATGTCAAAAAAGTCATAGATCTCTATAATCGGGGAGAAGAAGCCATAGAGTACCTCAAGCTATATCTTAAAAAAGCTAAAGAAGTAGGAGACAAGCATGGGGAGGGTAACGCTTATGGCAATCTTGGCAATGCTTATCACCGTCTGGGTGATTTCAAAAAAGCCATAGAGTACCACAACCTACATCTTAAAATAGCTAAAGAAGTAGGAGACAAGCATGGGGAGGGTGGTGCTTATGGCAATCTTGGCAATGCTTATTTTAGTCTGGGTGATTTCAAAAAAGCCATAGAGTACCACAACCTACATCTTAAAATAGCTAAAGAAGTAGGAGACAAGCATGGGGAGGGTAACGCTTATGGCAATCTTGGCAATGCTTATGACAGTCTGGGTGATTTCAAAAAAGCCATAGAGTACCACAACGTACCTCTTAAAATAGCTAAAGAAGTAGGAGACAAGCATGGGGAGGGTAACGCTTATGGCAATCTTGGCAATGCTTATTACAATCTGGGTGATTTCAAAAAAGCCATAGAGTACCACAACCTACATCTTAAAATAGCTAAAGAAGTAGGAGACAAGCATGGGGAGGGTAACGCTTATGGCAATCTTGGCAATGTTTATGACAGTCTGGGTGATTTCAAAAAAGCCATAGAGTACCACAACCTACATCTTAAAATAGCTAAAGAAGTAGGAGACAAGCATGGGGAGGGTGTTGCTTATGGCAATCTTGGCAATGCTTATCACCGTCTGGGTGATTTCAAAAAAGCCATAGAGTACCACAACCTACATCTTCAAATAGCTAAAGAAGTAGGAGACAAGCATGGAGAGGGTAACGCTTATGGCAATCTTGGCAATGATTATGACAGTCTGGGTGATTTCAAAAAAGCCATAGAGTACCACAACCTACATCTTAAAATAGCTAAAGAAGTAGGAGACAAGCATGGGGAGGGTGGTGCTTATGGCAATCTTGGCAATGCTTATCACCGTCTGGGTGATTTCAAAAAAGCCATAGAGTACTACAACCTACATCTTAAAATAGCTAAAGAAGTAGGAGACAAGCATGGGGAGGGTGTTGCTTATGGCAATCTTGGCAATGCTTATTTTAGTCTGGGTGATTTCAAAAAAGCCATAGAGTACCAGAACCTAAATCTTAAAATAGCTAAAGAAGTAGGAGACAAATCCTTTGAGGCAATGGCCTACTGTTCATTAGGATGCGTTTTCGAGTTGCAAGGTGGACTGCCAAAAGCCGTTGAACATTACCAAGCTAGCATAAACGTATTCAATTCTTTGAGAGCACTTCTAAAATCTAAAGATGAGTGGAAAGTTAATTTTAGAAATCAGTATCAAATGGCGTATACGGGTTTGTGGAGAGTTCTCGTAGAACAAGGTAATGTAGATGAAGCCTTATTTGTTGCTGAGAGAGGGCGAGCTCAAGCTCTGACCGACCTCATGGAATCCAGTTTTTGTGGTGGAACAAGTCACCACAAGGGAGAAGATGAAGATTTCACAGTTTTAAAAAACGTTCCATCAAACACTGTCTTTCAGGCAGTGGACAAAGCTGACGTCAATCTTTGGGTTGTGTCCGAAGGAAAACAAGTTCAGTTAAGACAAAGTAAACTCAAAGGTTTTGTTTCAGAGAATAGTGGAGTTAGCCAGTCCTTTGAGTCGTTCATGCTCGGTGTCTATACACAACTTGGTGTTCGTTCTAATGTGAGATGCGAGAATCGATCTTTGGATGCTCTGAGGGGGAGCCGTTCAAAAGTGGACGAGGAAACTAAAGAAGACAGCCCTCGACCTCCCATCCAACAAAAAGAATGCTTGAGCACTTTGTATGATACCGTCATGAAGCCAGTGGCTGACCTGGTTCAAGGGGATGAGCTAGTCATTATTCCCGATGGATCCCTGTGGCTTGCTCCTTACGCTGCATTGAAGAATGGTAATTCTAATTACCTGTGTGAATCGTTCACAATCCGACTCGCTCCATCGTTGACAAGTCTTAGACTCATCGCCGATTGCCCAGATGATTATCACAAAAGCAGTGGCGCGTTGCTCGTAGGAGATCCGTGGGTAGCCGAGGTTACTAACAGCGAGGGAAAGAAAGTCCTCCAGCAGCTTAAGTATGCTAAAGAAGAAGTAGAAATGATCGGAAAAATTCTGAATATCACGCCAATCACTGGCAGTCAGGCCACGAAACGTGAGGTGTTGAAAAGACTCAGTTCCGTTTCCTTAGTTCACTTTGCGGCACACGGATGTATGGAAACTGGCGAAATTGCTCTTACACCTGACCCAGACCGAATATCTACTGTGCCAACGGAGGAGGATTACATTTTAACAACTGGAGATGTGCTGAATGCTCAACTTCGGGCCAAACTTGTTGTGCTTAGTTGCTGCCACGGCGGCCAGGGCGAAATCAAAGCTGAAGGTGTGGTTGGCATTGCGCGCGCTTTTATGGGGGCTGGTGCTCGGTCTGTTGTGGTGTCCCTGTGGGCGATTGAAGACGAGGCTACTCTTGAGTTCATGAAATACTTTTATCAACAACTTGCAGGAGGTAAACGAGCAAGCGAGTCACTGAACCTGGCCATGAAAAGCCTCAGAGAATCAGACAAGTTCTGCGACATCAAACACTGGGCGCCCTTTTTGCTGATTGGAGATGACGTCACTCTTGACTTCATGGCAAAGGAAGAGAAAATTTAAATATGAAATCACATAAATGAAAACTTTTTATTTCATCTCAAAATGAATGACGCAGGAACTTGGAAGGTTTAAATGCTTCTCTATTTCGGCGCTTTTTGGCTATTTTTCATGACTTTTCACTTTTTTGCTAAATGGAACTTGAGATGTGTGACTTTACTTTGATGAAGAAATAAAACAGACTATTTCAGTATATTTTGTTCAATGGAATTGCTATTTTTTTACCTTTACATATTTAGATGCTTGCGAAGAGAACAAGATGCAACAAGGCTTCTATTGTTAATGCCTGAAGTTGTTGAAGGCGACTACGAGGTTTTCGTTTCGCCAAAAGGACACTCAGAGCTATTCGTTTATTGCAATCAGTTGTATGGGAAATAATTTGAAGGTTTTTTTCTTGTACACAACCAGGAGCTTGTCCACAGGGTTTTAATTACGTTGATACTCTAAGCTTTTGATAAGCAAAGAAACAGTTTGTCATTTGCAAAAGGTGGCGAAATTTTTATTTAAAAAATTTGATTTGCAAAATTCGCAGCCATATGTGAATTGATCTTAATGGTTTTTCTACGTCATAAATTACTTTGTTGCAATTTGCAATTATCTTTACAAAAAAATTGATTATCATTTTCACCTTTTTTCAATTCATTTTAATGCAATCTAATTCCATCAGTGCCAAGATTGCCATTCTAAGCTTAATTTGAAGAAGTAATCATCAGAGATGATGTTGTTGAATTTACTGACCATATGTTAGAGACATTAGACCTACTCTCAGGGGTGTGGCCAGCCTCTAGTCCCGTGGGCCCGGCCGACAATTGTTTTCCGCCCACTTGACTTTTCTAATATGACTCTTACAAATGTTGAAACAAAAATTGAAATTTCCCAGGAAAAAGGCCAACAACAAGTCAAAGAGCTGGCTACAACGGCCTGCTTTCAATGAAACGAGTTTGATCAATTTTAGTCCGTTTTATCAAACACTCATCGGTTTGTTTTAAAGAACCACGACAGACAAATTGTCCATGTAATCTAAACAAGGAAATAGCGAAGCAGAGTTTACTTCAACTGAAGTTTCCATAGCTGTGACTTTTAATGTAGGTGACATGGAATTTGTTGTTTCTAGTAGGAAAATGTTTACGCTAATAAATTAGGGAACAGTTGAAGTAAGCCATGTAGTCCTCAATGGGAATTATTCTGGCGAAAATGTTTATGAATAAATGTAAATGTAGTCCGCAGTAAAAAGGTTGACGGCTTCAGGATAAAACTTGCATTTTTTTGAAAATTTCCAGTTCAAATTTTTTTCATGGCTTTAAATTTACCTTAGTATAATTTGAAGATGTCGGATGATATCTTTCTTAGATTTAAGAATTTATACTTAGGTATTCCGAGCACGCTTTGTGATTAGAACCCGTTATGTGGTCAAAAGTTTAAGGTATAATGTAACACGGCTGTTTTAAAAGAAATTTTTGTAAAATCAATCTTAATTTTTGGCAGGTTTTCATAACTACCATTGGTATATGCTGGTATAAAATGTAATAGTTAACCTCGAACGGGTTGAATATGATGTAACGTAGGATTTTAACAACAAGCTGGGACAGTTTTAACTAAATACGCTTTTTATAATGTCAGTGTATTTCGTGTGAATTGTTTTGATGCTATTTGTATTTAAAGTTGAAGTTATTTGTCCATTTACCTTAGTTTTTATTCATTAACTCATTAACTCCCAAGTTCTGAAGAAAAATTCTCCCAACTGATAAGAATGTGTTTCTTTGTTGCTTCATTCTGAGAATTCGATGTTTAGATTTTCTCTAATTCTTATTGACGCCATGTTTGTCGGTGCATTAATTTTGTGAGGAGAATTTAAGTTATGATCAGTCTTGGGAATAAATGGGTTCATTTTAGTGTCTCCGTTTAGCGCGTACTTTACTTAATGCCTTGAACAATTTATTGCAGTTTGTATTGTACTTTTTTTTACTTTTTTGTGTAAGAGAAATAGAGAGTGTATAAAATACAAAACTGCGTTGATTTTCATTGTCTGTCTCCATATTCTAGGGATTCACGTGAGATGTAGAGAGAACAGATCCTATGGGGACTTCAATGCTTATTTTGACCCGTCAAGTTGATAATCTTTGCAGCTGACAGTGTACTGACATTCTATGTTTCAAGCCCCCACCCACTTAACAAACGCTCGCCACCTCTTCGATTGTGTCTCTTTCACTGTCTACCGTTCTCCATATTGTCACACGATTTTGAATGCCAACGGACGTGTTCATACTGTTACCTGTGTGCGCCCTTTTTACCTTTTTACACCTTTTCACATTTGCGCATCTCTTTTTTCTCCTTCCTTTTGTTCCTTCCCTTTTTTTCATCGTACTTTTCCTTTATTCCCATTTTTACGCGCACTTCTTTCATCGCCCTCAACTTTATTCTTCTACGCGCTTCATTAGACGCGACTATCTCCTTGTCTGTTTCAGTTTTCATTCGTCTCAATCCTCGCGCAACGTCAGGTCTCTTACAACTCATATACCTCCTTACTCCCCCAGAGTAGTTGTTATTATGCTTATTTTGTTCACTTTAGGATAGTGTCCTCTTAGCATCATTTCTGGTAAAATCTCAGTTTTCCTTTCGACTCATTCCCAGTCCACAGGGTCTCTCACTTTCAAGTCTCACTTGCCAGTGTTTGCTCTCCTCAGTCCTCTCATCACAGTAGCAGCTATAAAACGAAAGAGCTCCCTCCAAGTCTTTGCGACATAATCGATGCATTTTGTTGGAAACGAGTCCTTCAATGTCCAAATTAAGGCTTCTTCTATCATCTGATTGGGAATGGATCAAACTCTCGCCCAGGGTCCACCTACATCGCGAGTCCAAGATGGCAGCAGGCCAATCCACAGACTTCTCCGAGTCGATAGCCGCCATCTTGGATGTAGACGCAGAGAGGACCTTGAAAAAGAGTTTTGACTAAACAATAATTAAGAAAGGTTAAGTTATTGTAATGCTTCCTAAGAGGTAGTCGATAACAGCCCGAGAGATTCATTATGAGCAAACACGTTCCGTCGGTTATTCGACTCCATGTCTCCTTACGTTGTAGAATAAACTCCTCGAATACGGACGTCTATATGCCCTTGTCCCCCTCCCTTAAATAGCAATATACATCCCTCTACTGCAACTTTTATCATAATACAGCACAATACAACATTATGCCCCTGAGTAGCACTGTAAATCCGTAAAATGCAGTAACTGTGCAGCGCATCACAACAATATGAACCCCTAAATAGAACTGTGCTTCCCTCTACTGAATTTTATATCACCATACAGCGCTATATAAACTATTGCTCCAATTTGGCGCGAAAATAATTGAGGATATTTGTCCGCGGACATTATCTATTCCAAGATGCCAAAACTGTGAGCTTCGAGGGACAGACAATGTCCAAGGACAGATATCCGAACATATTTTCGTGCAAAATAGAGGCTATTGTGATTTTTATCCTTCAACTATTTTGCAACGCTCGTGAAAAAATCTTTATGAACAGTGAATGAATTGAATTAAAGTTTAAACGAAGACTTATCGAGGTAGACGTAAGGTTTACAAATTGGGGAATATCGCTTGCGTGATATTCTCGGATATCACCCAGTATTAGCTGTGGGATATTTAGTTACTAGCTGCGTTTACACCAATTGCTCGCGGGCAAAAATATTTGATGGATCACAAAAAGCAACATGCACCCCTAGATAGCACTTTACTTCTCTCTTCCGCAATTTACATCCCAATACAGCGCTATAAAACAACATATATCCTATACTTCTCTCTTCTGCAGTTTACATCACTATACAGCGCTATACATCAATAGGTACCCCTATATACCACTGTACTTCCCTCTTCTGCGCCCTACATCACGATACAGCGCTATACAACAATATCTACCCCTAGATAGCATTATACTTCTCGGTACTGCAGTTTACATCACAATACAGCTCTATACAACAATATGTACCCCTAACCTTGTAACCTTGAACGGCATAACAGAATACATACATCGAAATTTTCCAGCCTCTCGGGCCATGCTTTGTGTCTTTCTCCAAGGTTCATTTAATACTCGATGAAAACCTTTGCGTCGTTTAAAGAAAACACAGCATTTTCCAGCGCAGTCATGACTCGTCTGACGTGAAGACACAGAGATGGCGAGTTGATTGAGGCTTTAAGTTTCAAACTCTTAAAGGCGGGAAATATTTCTGAAACAAAATCATTCACGAACATCACTATTAATTCTGAATAATGTAAATTCGATTTACGTTTACTTTAGATAATAAATTTTACTCCCATTTTGCCAATCATACAAAGAAATCAATACACTGAACAATACCTTCAATAAGACACAGCTACACAGTTGTAAATCTCCATCCTCATCCTCAGTAGAACTATGCTATCACAAAGGTGGAATAATCGCGGAAGAATAACCGCACTTAAGACCTCCCTATATACCAAGGAATTCGTGCCACTGGATTCGACATGTGCCAGTAACCTACTTTCACATTTAACGTGACGTTCAGCTAAGATCAGCAAACCTTTTTCTTTTTTTCTTCATTTTAAACGATTCCAATCCTACTAGTGGTATCATATTTGCATAAGAAAGCTAATGTCAACTTGAGACTCTGCATTAATTTTTTTTGATGAAATGGAACACAACAAACCAGAGATACCACGTACTTAAAACACTAACCGTTTAAACATTTTCTTCCACACGACGCTCTTAACGGGCTCAACGAGCTGCCAAAATTCTCTTAAAATCCGTTTTCGTTCGTGTGATAGCTTGACTTCTATTTCGATTCTGTTTTGCCTCGACGCAAAACAGCCCATGGCATTTACAGTTTGACTGTTAAACCTTAAATGAAGATTTGTAGACACCAGCTGAGTAGATTTATGAATTTGCTTAACGGCGAATGAATGCATTGAAATCAAAATTGATTTTCTTTAAGCTCAGCTCACTGAACTACAAGTCTGCTGTCAGATGATT